AGAAATTTTGGCTCTGGAATGTGGACGGGTGGCTAAAAGGGAATGTTACCATTCATCATCCCTGTTTTTACATTTATATCCCGTCTTTTCCCCAAAGAATTTGAGGTGGCATGCATAGTTCTCTCCCTCCCCATTTTATCTCCAGAACAACCTTGTGAGGTAGATTAAGCTTGAGAGTGAGTGACTGGTCCAGCGTCACTCATCAAGCTTCATGGCCAAGTGAGGATTTGGGCCCTGGTCTTCCCAGGTCCTAGTCCCACACCCTAACCACTACACCCTACTACTGGATTTCCCAGGCTCCCTCCTTTACCTTTGAAAGTGTATGGCCATATTTCATTTTAATTATTTGTGCCCCCCCCAAAAAAAAAATACAGTGGTACCTTGGGTTACAGACGCTTCAGGTTACATACGCTTCAGGTTACAGACTCCGCTAACCCAGAAATAGTACCTCGGGTTAAGAACTTTGCTTCAGGATGAGAACAGAAATCGCGCCGTGGCGCTGTGGTGGCAGCGGGAGGCCCCATTAACTAAAGTGGTGCTTCAGGTTAAGAACAGTTTCGGGTTAAGAACGGAACCTCCAGAATGAATTACGTTCTTAACCTGAGGTACCACTGTACTGTCATCACCAGAGACAATGATGAGGCTCTTCTCAGTAGGCAGAGGCCTTCAGCAACCTGTCTGCATTTCTGTTTGGGGTGTGTGTTGGGTCTGGATGAATCCCATATCAAAGAACCAAAGCAGGGCTTGTTGAAAGTTGAAGCTGAGAGCTCTGAACTGAAGCAGGGACCTCCAAATCAATTCAGATGTTAAGAAACGACAAACCGCATGTCTGCAAAAATTGAAAGGTTCCTTGCCATATAAGGAAAATTCCAGGGGATGAAGGAGAGCTCTTTTTTGTCTGACAAGTCTAGCTTCTCATCATTGGGGATGGCTTTAGCAGGCCTCTCCAATCAAAGCACTTCTCTGTTCCATCCACTTTGCTACTTCTGCTAGTGGTGCTTGCTTGGAAAGCGCTGGGCATGGCTACATTTCCACTTCTGTCAAATCAGCTATGAACTTAAGGCAATATTCAACTAAATTTTTGCACAAGTGCAAGGGTTAATGCTAGTGCAAGGGGATTCCCTCCCTCTCCTTCTCCTCCACCCACAAACCCCACTCTATCCCCAAATCTGCTCTGTAGGGTTGGAGGGAGCCACAAAGCAAATGTAGAGGACACATGGGAGGAGAAGGAGAGAACATTCCACCCAGCAAGGAGAAATTCTTGCACTGATGATGGAACCTTAGCTTTAGTACTGCATTGCTTCTGTGACTTCTGGTGCGAGCTGAGCAGAACAAAAGCCTGAAGCTGTTTTCCATGGGTAGGCAAACTAAGGCCCGGGGGCCGGATCTGGCCTAATGGCCTTCTAAATCCGGCCCATAGACGGTCCGGGATTCAGTGTGTTTTTACATGAGTAGAATGTGTGCTTTTATTCAAAATGCACCTCTGGGTTATTTGTGGGGCATAGGAATTCCTTCATTTTTCCCCCTTCAAAATATAGTCCGGCCCCTCACAAGGTCTGAGGGACAGTGGACCGGCCCCCTGCTGGAAAAGTTTGCTGACCACTACTGTTTTCATTTTATTTCTCACAACTCTGTAGCCCATGCACCAAATCTTTTGAAATTTTGGAGTATCTTTACAATGTAAAGGATCTCTGACAGTTAAGTCCAGTCACACACAACTCTGGGATAGCAGCGCTCATCTCACTTTACAAGCCGAGGGAGCTGGCGTTTGTCCGCAGACAGTTTTTCTGGGTCATGTGGCCAGCATGACTAAGCCACTTCTGGTGCAATGGAACACCGAAACCAGACCTTCTGATCGGCAAGCCCAAGTGGCTCAGTGGTTTAGACCACAACGCCAAACGTGTCCCCTCTACAATGTAGGTCATTTTTATTTTTAACGAATTTGTCCCCAAAACCAGAGGGAGGGAAGTTCTCCCTACCAAATCAGTCTTAGAGGCACCTAGAACAAAAACTGCTTTCTTAGCTGGGGTGCCTCTCTGACATGCTATTTTCATACAAATGGTCCACAAAATAATAGAGATTAAGCAAATCCGTTTTTACCCACTCCAAAACTGCAGTTACATGAAAACTACTGTAACTATCCTTGTGAAATGTGAAAGGATACATCTTGCTTGCAAATTTCATTCAATTCTGCCAAAAGAATGTGCATAACCCTTCCTTTTTTAAAAGGTGGCCGGCATCATAACAACAAAAACCCTAGGCTTAATACGTCTGTAATTTGGCATGACATGTCCACTCAGGACGGCCTACTATGCCTGCAAAATTCATCTGCTTCTGCCAAGAAGCTGTAACCATTTTAAGAATTGCCTCATAATAGCAAATGAGACACAAAGTTTCATTTTTTTTTCCCAAAATGCACTTCTGGACTGACCTGAATCAGCAGCCTCTGAAGCACCTTGGACCCAATCGGCCTGTTTTCTGAAGTGCTGAATCAGGGCCTGAACTGAATCTTGTGCTTGGTACACACCCCTGGTTTCTGCAGCACTTGAAGATTAATTCTTTGCATTACACAGAATGGCTAATTCAAGAGAGGACTCACAAAATGTGGGTGCCCCAAGGCCCATTCTAGCACATCAAGAAGTGCCATTTAGCCTCAGGTTTGTCAATATAGGGGCAGGAGAGGTTGACTACAGGCCATTTTGGCCTTGTGCTTTCTGTAGTGATGGACCTGTCACCTAAGCTGCAATAGAACAGGACCACACGTTGCTTTAAACCAGGGGTCAGCAACCTGCAGCCCATGAGCCACAAGCAGCCCACGGGGGTCGTTTAAACGGTCCACAGGCCGCCCCTGAACCGAGGCACCCGCTCAGTGAATCCCTGCACGCTGTTCTAAACTAGCACATCATGGAGCAGGGACTCGCTTCCACGGCGCCAGAAATCGCGTCTGCGCAGACGCGATCCGGCCCACGGAGCGATCTCCATGGGAGTGAACCGGCCCAGGCGAGGTAAACCTTGAAGACTGAAACACTAGTCCTGCTCAGAGTAGAGCCATTTCTATTACTGAACATGACTTAGGTTCATTAATTTCAATGGGTCTACTCTTGAGTAAAACGTTGTTGCTTGGGTCTGAACTGCAGAGAGCTGGAGCTTGTGAAGGGATTTTGGAAGTTATAGTGTACAAGAGGCCCTTTCAGATAGTGGGGGGGGGGGGGTTAGACGATAACCACAGGTATTTCCACGACATGTCAACCAAAACTAGCAACTTCTGAAGATTCTTCCAGTGAAGTATTCAGTCATGTAATCCAATTCAGGAAGCCATTCATCCCTCTGCAAGCTTAAATTTAATCAATGAGTACAGAACAAGGTGACAATGTTAAATAATATATCCAACTTCAGAATGTGCCCCACACTTGTTACCCTTTTGTATTTCTGCTTATCTGTATAATTCTGCTTGAGTGCCTGGATCTTTCAGAAGTTCCAAGCAGCCAATATTCAGAACTATTGATTGTCTTCCCATGATTCAACATTAAGTACAAAAAAAGCACATAATGAGGCTAATGGGCACAGCACCCAGCTTTCTGAGTACGTAGCCTTTAGAAAAATAATCTCTCACCTCTTATTAAAAGAGGGAAGTGATAGGCTTGATGGGGTGAATTATTATTTATTTGATTCATACGATTTCTCCCCTTTGTATTACCAATGAAAGAATTGCACAAAGGAAAGAAAAATGTACAAATCTTGAAGTACATAATATGGAACGGTCTCCTTTGGGAGGCCTGCTTCATTAATTCTTTTTTTAAAATGTAAAAAAATTATAAACATATTATTAAACCAATAAAACCTCTCAAGTAGTTTATAATAAAAAATCCCAACATTCAAAAAATTATCTAACAACTGGATAAAAAGAAAACAGAAGTGCATATCTCAAATAAAGATGAAACTGAGCAATGTATAAATAAAATAAAAAAGTTAAGAGACCTGGAAAGAGCCTTTTAAAAAGGCACTTACAGAGAACAACTGTCTCCACCTCATGAATGACCTGAGGGAAGGCATTCCAGAAAGTGCATGCTGTTAAGGTAAGGCTACCAGATTTTTTTCAATGAATCTGGGGACACTTTTCAACATCAATGGATTTTGTATGGGGACTGATGTGTAAATCCGGGGACTGTCCCCGGGAAACTGGGACGTCTGGTAACCTTATATTAAGGCCCACTAAGTGACAAACTTGCTCGCCGTGAAATGACCAGCAAGATCTCCCCAAATCTTATAAGGCTTGGCTTGTACCAAGAAAGGTGGTCCACAAAGTATCCTGCTTTGCAACGTCACCAACCCATTTTCCAACGAGTACAGTGGACGCTCAGGTTGCGAATGTGATCCGTGCGGGATGCACGTTCGCAACCCGCAGCGGTGTGTCTGTGCATGCGCGGGTTGCGATTCGGCGCATCTGTGCATGTGCGACCGCCGAAACCCGGAAGTAACCCGTTCTGGTACTTCTGGGTTTCAGCAGTCCGTAACCCGAAAAAAGGCAACCTGAAGCGGCTGTAACCCGAGGTATGACTGTATTTGGCTTCTTTCGACAAAACTTTGGGCCTCATCTTTTGGCGACTCACATGACTTTGTGGCTGTTGAACTGTTGGTAATTATATGTTTATTTTTGCTTGTGGAGCCTGTGTGTTTGTGTGTGTGTGGTTTTTTAATTTGTTTTTAAAGAAATTACAGCTGCATGTGGGGGTAGGGGGGCAACACAATGGCAAAGTTAAAGTAGTTTAATAAGTAAGTCTAATAAATAAATGTATTTACTTCACAGCTTTTCTTGAGAGATGATTTTGATTAAGTTGCAGAGTATACATGACGATGCCAGTGGATATATTTACAACAAATTCATTCTCCAAAACAGCTTCCCACCGGTCCATAATAAAACAAAGTCTTAATAAGTGATGCAGATAATTAACTTAAGAGGTTCCACAACTTAGTAAGCATTAATAGGCACAATCCAATACTTCTTAATTCCACAGCTTTATTTATTTTTTCTCTATAAAGTATGATACCAGAGGACAAAGCAACATGGAAATTTACACACTTTGTATCCGGGTCTTTGTAAGCTCCTTGAAAGGGAAAACAGCTTTTAGGTACAAGTTCAGATGCCCATAACGGAGCGTCAACAATATTCTGGACACCACACAGTACATAAAGATAAAAAGACAACCCCGGCTCTACAGAGTTCACATACAGAGAGAGAGAAAGAGAGGGACAAACCCAGTTGCATCAGAATTCCAGGAGTGGGAATGAAATTTTGTTAAGCTAATATATACAGCACAAAGACACTGAGTGGACCACATTCTGACAGAACAAGCTTCTTTGCAGGTTTGTGGGGAGCAGAATGGGAGGGAAGGTCTGAAAAAGTGGCTCTTAATGCACATCCAGGGCAAGGAAGACCCTTATTCTGTGTAAAAAAAATAAAATGCTGTCATTTACATATGTTTTAAAAAGAGGCGAAGGAACAAGGTATTCAAAAAACAATAACAATCCAATGTTCTAAAACCAAACCCACACATTGAAACCACATCACTGTAAATTAAATGTTTTGTGAAAATAAATATTTTCTTATCTGAAACTATATTGCTGATGCAACAAAAGGTTTTTGTGTGGAAAGGCAGCAACTGCAGTTTAACCAGTGCATGCTACAAAGACCACGCTTCGCCCTAGAGGAAGGTAGTCATAACAGCTGCTAAGTTCACCATGTATCCTATACGCTTTTTCCCCCAGGGTTCATGGAAGCACAATGGCGTTCACTGACCTAAAGGCAGCACCATCAGATAGATTTCACTAGGTCACTCAGCAACAGGAACTTTTCCTGAAAACAGGTCAGTTCCACAAATTGCAAGCTGGGAACTTAAAACTTATTGCACTCATTCTAATCAGATATTACCTCTATTCAGGATGAAAGCAAGGAAAATTTGCAGTCAAGGAAAGGGATTAAGAAGCATAAGGAGATGAGAAGACCCAACTTCTCCTCATAGTTCATCTTTCAGTCTTATACTGTAGTGACATCAGAAGCAGAATAAGGAATGGTGTGGGTTTTTTGTCTGGAAATAACAGGAAGTATCTTCGACACTCAGTGGAGGTCTAAGTGGCCCTACCTCTGTCCGACTTCCTGGTGAAAGGCACCTCTTCAACTTCCTCCTCCGCAGTCTGGAGAACAAAAGAGAACTTCCTCTCAAGATGGTCCTCCTGTGTCTATCTAATGATGGCACTCCTCACTTGTGTGCAGTCAACACTTTTTTCCTGCAGGTTCCCCCTTCCACCATCCCATTTATCTTGTTATATGTTACCTAGATGGCTTCCAGGCTGCAAAGAGGTTTATACTTTTGTAAAATATCTAACTGCCAACTGTCTGATTGGTGGTGGCAATCAGGACTCTCACTCCAAAGCAAGATTTGCAAGACCACGGATCCAGCACGGCAGTTTTTCAACATCCACAGGATCAAAAAAAGTTAGTAATACAACCAGATTATTTCTGCAAGAGGCGGCCCCTCAAGTTATTTCTCATTCTGAAACAAAAAGGCAAGCAACTTGCATCCAACCTTGCTTGCGAATGTAATGTACATCCTGCCCAATTAAACTCCTCTCTAAAAGAGCTTAAACTTTGGGGTGGGGGGGTGGGGGGGAAACTTTGGTGCACGTTAACACATCATGTTTATGGAAACAGGTTCGGCTTGTAAGCAAGTCATGAAAAAAAATGTGAAGGAGAAAAGAAGGGAAAGTCAATAAAGTATTAGAACCTATTGCTTGACAGCAAAAAAAGGAAAATCACAGCAGTTAGGCACAATCACAGTTTCAAGGTTTTCATTGCAACCCATTAAGGTATTTCAAGGCTTTGCTTGTGGTCCCAAATCTGCCTACAATTTGCAGGCAGGTCTAGGATGACCAACAGCTTTCACAGTGGTCTAAAGGATCCTGAGCGCCACCTCCTCATTCTGAGGGTGTCGTTCCCCCCCCCACCCTCCCCCTTCCTCCCCAAGGGGTTCAAGTGTTGCTATCCACATATTGCGAAATTCCCTACAATTTTGTTATGTCTTCTTTTGTATTGTTAGTTTCAAACTACCTAGTTTAAAAGGAGCAAAATTGCCCTGGGGAACAGGAGCGGTCATCACATTTAAGACTGTAGGATAAAAAAATATCCACAATGCAAGCTCTACTTAAGTGTTACAATGTATTGGTCATGCAAAAATCCCTACAGGATCCTGGCAGGCAGGCATTTCAACAGTTATAGTTGATGTGGGGTCAGGTTGCTAATCAACTAATTGTTGGATGGACAGTAGCACAGTTTCAAATTGGCGGCAGGTTCTGCGTCTCGCGCTGAAAAGTTCGACAGCCGCGGGGAGTCAGTGATCGTCCACTTTAGTTCTTTTGGCTTTCAGGGAAAGGTGCTGCAAAGAAACGAAAGCATCGTTTTTGGTTTTCATAAAACTCATAAATGCTCCAAGCGATATACTTTTCTATTCCAAATTACATCAGTCTCCATGTTAGCAACAAATTCCGTCCTGCATTAGGAACTCTACGCCAACTAAAATGTCATTTTGCAATAGCCGAGAAAACGTATCAAGCCCGCCAGCATTGCCAGTATAGGAATCAGTGCTGTTTAAAAAGCCATAGACGACTTCGCTGCCTGGTGCTTAAACAAAAACACCCCTGCACACCTGCAACATTGCTGAGTTTTGTAATAGGAAAACATCTGCTATATTGTTATCTACCATAACAGTATTAATGCTGTCAGGGTAATGCCTTTATTTATTGCAAAGACAATAGGTTATCACACCAACAGCAACTCTAGCATTATAGAGGCACCCAACCAGTCTTTCCAGGAAGAGGGTTTCTGCCTTCCAGTGCATGCTTGTGGTGTGGGATCAAGCTACGTATTTACAGGAGTTCTCTTATTCAAGGCATAGGCAAACTCGGCCCTCCAGATGTTTTGGGACAACAACTCCCATCATCCCTAGCTAACAGGACCAGTGGTCAGAGATGACGGGAATTGTAGTCCCAAAACATCTGGAGGGCCGAGTTTACCTATGCCTGTCTTATTCCTTCTCTTCTCTCTTTGTTTCCAGAAGCATACTATTACCCAACCTCCAGCATTTAGCACTAGCAGGTACGCCTTAGGGTTACTTTGAATTTTACATGGAGAAATGTGGCTTCTGCCATCTGATGGTTGCTCCAACACTACTCCATAAGGTATAAAATGCTGGATCACGCCTGTTACACAGATCTGAGTGCATTTACACAGCATGGTAGCAATAACTGCCTTGAAATTGTGCCCAAATCACTTCGGGGGGGGGACGACCCTTTTACTGCCAGGGTGGCGTGGGATACAACAATGTGGCACCAACAACACTGCTCCAGGTAACAGGTAACGACTATTTTAAAGTCACTTTGTGCATTCTTAGAAGTGGTAAAAAGTAGGTATGTGAGTTACTCACATTTCTACTTTTCAAGCTTCAAAATAGGAAGCTGCATCCCAATATGGTAGGAACTCAGGATACCTTAGGGAACATCTCCATGCAACGATTTCCACCTGAGCTCTCGTATCTGGAGATGCCTCTAAGTCTCACAATTTAAAGACTTTGCATCAAATGGTTCACAGAGCCAGATATCCTTAGTTCCTGCATTGTAGAACAGCCTCCTAGTTTCTTCTGTTGACTGCATTGTGTCCAAAGATGGAAGCATTTTTAAAAGAAGAAGATGAAGTCTTCCTGCTGATACGACTATTATTTTCCAATCAGGACAAAAGCAGTCAAAAATAGATTGCCCCCATCTCCTAAAACCCTGGGTTGCATCAATCAAGTAATATTTAGAGTAGACACAGTGAAAACAACGGACTTAGGTTAACCATTTCCATTAACTTAAATGAATCTACTCTGTATATAACTAACATTGAACAAATTCTCAATTTAACACATTTTCGTATATTTGTGTAATTCTGACCAATCACACATAACTGATATTATTTTTAAATTGTGCCAGCCTTTTCACTGAGAAGTCTCTGCCAGAATTTCTAGTCATAGAAGGAGGTACAACATGCCTATGGAGTCATATAATATGAAGCTATGATAATTATGAGCAATTACTATAGCAATTGCCAGTTACTTTTGATTAAGTAATGGAATAATGATTTGCATAACTGCTGTGTAGTTAAAGGCACCACTTTATATGTGACACAGGGAGGCACAATATTGGAATATTTTAGTGCTATCAACTCACTTAATTACAGATACCGGATTCCTAGAAGATTTAATATAATGGTGGTGTTGGCTCATTTCCTTCTCAAACCATACCTGAAACACTTTTGCTAAGTGGCCAAAACCACTTCCAGAACTTTTTTATGTTCTGCAGCACAATCGATTTGAATGCATTACAGGACACAAAGCAGAAAATATCAATAATTTCAGGATGGGTTCACACACTGCCCAAGCATACAGGTTTTGTGTAGTGGGTTGCATATGGTTACTGTAGTGCCGTATAACATTGAAAATGCAAGGAGCAGATATTCGTGTGAAACTGATTTTTCTAGATCCTTTATCACTTAGCTTTCAGGCCACTGTTCTGAACAGAAACTGCTCTGGTGGATTATACCAAGAACTCAACTGAGGGGGCACAATCCTTTTCGTACTGCTAGACCTCTCAAAGCCTTTGATACAATTGATCATCAAACTCTTCCAGACTAGTTGGAGGCACTGTATTGCGATAGTTGTGGTGCACAAACTGGTCGGAGCTTTAGGCAACAGCTACACTACAACTTGGACTACTTACCCCATGAGGCACTGCTAGAAGTGATTTTGTGATTTTTAAGTTAATTTATCTGCATAATAGTGATATAAAGTAATCTTTATCTGGAACAGAGTTTTATTAATTATTGGTAACTGTCAAACAATTAAATAAAGACAAGCAAAAGCTGGGGTGGTGGGGAGAGGGGATATACTTATGCAAACCCATTTTGCAAGCACAGGTAAAAGCATAGAATAACAAGAGCTGCCAATACGGCAATGGTACCGTTTGGAGGCTATGCCGAGTCCGTACCGTTCCTTGCTGGTAAAAGTGAGGGGCCAGTTCCAATAGCCAAGCAGATTCAATTGCTGTAACGTCTCGCATGTAATACTTGGAGGTCTGCATGACTTCATTGTAGACAACCCTAAAAATACAGCAAGAAAAGGCACATCCACTAAGAGAACATTTGGATACATTCCCACTTAATATTGCATTGGAAAGGTTTCAACATCTAGACACCAAGCCTTAATTCAAAAGTCACTGGGTGGTATTCAACTAAGTTTCACCGAGAACAGACCTGACTTAGCCATTTCCATTAATTTCAATGGGTTTACTATGTATAAAATATGAATACCACCCACTATCTTTATGCATGTTCCCACCTGAATTCCCTATATAAAAGATCCCTCTCTATGTTGCCTACCTTCTCCTTATGACTTGATGTGGACTGGGTTACTACCCAGCCTGGAATGTCATTGCCAATGGTTGGAAAACCATCTAATGCAAGTGTACGTTTTTGTACCGCAATCAAAACACAAAGGCAGCACTACCAGTTATTGCTCATTGCATCATTCTTCAAAAGTGGAGGATATGCATAATATATCCTGAATTTCACATGCATGCCTTTGTAAAGGCATTACAAACCACCCCACTCTCATGGAAGCAAATGTTTACATCCTCTCAGATCACAAGCTTCTTGATCCTGCAGTTTGGGAGGGAGAAACCAGCTACTTGGCTTCCCAGTCATACAACTTCTACAACTTGTTGCTGGTAGTGCTCCATCTACCTTTATCGCTTTTTCTTGATGTAAGTGTAGTGTGGAATGAAGAGTACAGCACGTATTCTGAAGCCACAATCTACCAGATGGGCTGTGTTCTGTGAAAGAAGCAACTCTCAACGATGTAGAATGTCAAGCTTAACCAGCACGCTAATGAAAACCTTTTCAACGTACCAACGAGGAGGCTTCTCTGCATACAGCACTGAGGTGGGGTGTATATAAAGTTCATGGTCATCGCGAATAGTCCTTGAAAGAACAACAATTATTTTAGACTTACAATATTTATTCATTATGCAGCAATGGGACTGTGCCTCAAAAATACACCTTTTCCCCCTCAATTATAAGCCTGATCATAGATATGAAAAACTATCAAAGGATGCTGAAAACTGACCTGGAAGCTTGTTTATTTATTGGTGCCTTTGAAATACCTTTCTTTATCTCTTATTTGCCTGAAATATTGCTCAGTCCACTTAGTGGACTGCTTCAAGTTTTTTCCAGCCTCTTCTAAGCTGTTGAAGCTCAACTAAGCCAGGAGACAAAATGCCAATTTGTTTCAACCTGACGTATTACCAGTTGATGGTACTGACAAGAAAGCATCATTATTTTTTTATGGCTACTGGCTTTCCAATGAGCCCTTTCTTAATGATTTAAAGACAATTCTGATCTATGTTCCCTTCCCACTATGTTCCCTTCCATCTTCCCCTTACTCTCAGAGGCCTGAACTACAGTAATTATCACTAGTAAAGCCAGGACAGTGTTTTTGTTCATTTTGGGATGTTTATCACAACAAACCTCACATTTACCTGTATGCTCCGGTAGAGTGAAATCTGGCTGCGTTAGCAAAGAATCCAGAAACTATACACCTTAGAACAGGGTCTGGATCTCCTAAAAGGAGGAAATGGACCAGTCATTCCACAAAGTTCATCAGGTAAGACCAGCTTTCTTCAACACTGTGTGCTTCAAATGTTTTGAACTACAACTCACATCAACTTCAGCCAGTGTGGCCAATGGTCAAGAGCAAATTAACTGCCTAGTCAAATGATCACAAACGAGCAAGGAGGAAAGTGCAACGCTGGAGGAATTTCAAAAATCTCAATTTGGTGCTCATTATTTGGGATGTTAAGCATCTCATTGCTGTTTTATCTCTTTTCAAGCTCAATAGATGATTGAATTGTTATCACAACCAGATAAAATAGGTGGCAAACACATGTAACACATTGTATGGGTTTTTTAAAAAAAGTTTAAACAAAAACCAGCTGTAGGAGGCTAACATTTTGAGAATAGAATGGGAGGGGATGCTTAACCTTTCTCTACCGCTGGTTTTCTGTTCAACACCACTCCCTCCCCCCAGCTGCTCTTCCACTTGCAAAGGGAAATAATGCAGGCACATATCCTTTTTTACCTAGGTGAAAAAGGAGCTGAGGGAGTGAAGGGGCAGGGGAGAGAGCCAAATGAAAAGTGGCTAAGCTCCCATCCCTTCGTGTGTGTGTGTGTGTGTTTGCGCGCGCGCACACACACACACACACAATTCATCTGCTGAAATTGACATCTGCTTTCCATTAAAACAACAAAAATCACTACATGCATCTGCCCTAAGCTTTTCCTTACTGTGGCAACTGTTTAACAAAAAGAGGAGGAGGAAAGCATTCTTCCAGACATCTTTCGGGGTTTTTTGTTTTTACATACATAGGGTGGTATGCAAGTAAGTTTTACTCAGAGCACACTAAGTCATATTAATTAATTTCAATGAGTTTCCTCTGAGTAAAACTTAGTTGAATATCACCTACAATTTCAGTAGTTTTAAAATACACTGAACTTCAAGTACTATAGCGGGTTACATTTTATTGTATTGTACTACAGAACTGGGTTTTTGTTAGCTATCCTGATAACTTAATTGAAGGGTGAAGAATAAATCTTAATAACAATTTCCTTGTGATTACATTTATCATGTATGCCCTTTATGTTTACAATCGCACACACCTGGAACCAAGGTATGTGCGCGTTTAACTTATGCCGAGCATGCTTCTGATTATTGTGTTCTCTTTAATAAGCACCTTCCTGCTTAAGGTACTTAAGCAATTTTTCTGGTTAGGTGTGTTCACTTGTTTCCACAATACACTATGCTGTTGCCTGGCTCCCCACCCCCCCCATGCAACATATAATCTAGTCAAACGTAAATAGCCTTTGCAGGAAAGAGGGAAGTCTCAGATGCCAAAAGGGCTGTCTGCAAAGCTAATAAAGTCTATTCCAGTTTCCAGAACCCATGGATTTAAATAAATATTCTAGCTTGTTATACTAAAACTGAAATGAATGTAAAAGTGAGAAAGAGGTGCTCTACACTTAGTACATTAGAAAGCTTTTACAGTAGTAAAAACACAATATACATCACTGAAGCAGTGTAAAGCAAATGGATAATAGAAGATCATGCTAAAAAAAGCAAGAGTGGAATCCAATGGTGACTGTCCACTGATGGAAGGCTTTCATTCAGCAAAACGGGAGGCGGTAATTTTTGGTGGCACCCCTACCCATTACTGCAGTCCTTTATGCCACACTAAATCTGCTCTGGAAGGTCCCTCAACTGTCTGGAGCAGATTTAGAGTGGGCATGGGCTAAAGGAAGATTGGGAGACCACCACAAATTGCCACATTCTGTTAATGGATTCTCTTCCATCAGCAGACAGCCACCACTGGATTAACGCACAATGGAAAGAAAGCAATGCTACAAATGTTGTGAAGCTCCCATGCAGTTCACAGCTGGCAATTCTATCTTTTTGTACTAAACAGAGTATAGGCAATAAATAAGAAATTGCTAAGATCTCTTCTCTTGGTCATACCTTCACTGGACTTTTTTGGTACTTTGAACTTGACAAGAAGTTTTTTCAGCTGCTCTCTCACAGTTGTGGCTCGGACAAGACCTTTATAATTCAGAAAGTGATCCTGACACCACTGGGAACTCTTGTTGTGCTGCAAAGAAAAAGGAACAGCTGAACCGCCTTAAAAAGCTTGCTTTATAAAGGTGTTAGCTCTGACTTTATCTCCAGGTTTCTTTTCCTAATATTAGGGGAGTGGGGATGCACGCACCAACCAAAATTCAGTTTGCAACAGGTCAGTCTAAAATCCTACAACTCTCCTGGCAAGAACAGGTCATGCTGAAGGCCGGAATCTGGAAAGGAGACTCTGGTACTTAGCTACTCCTGCAGTTCAAACACATCAGTTGATCCCGGGAAAATCTCATGTTAGGAATGTTAAGAAGAGCCTGGCTGAATCAGATAAAAGACACATCTAGGCCAGTAGGTTATTCTCACTGTGACCAACAAGATGCCTATAGGAAGGCCAGAAATAGGACATGAGCTGAACAGAACTCTTCCACTTATGATCTGCAACAACTGGTATTCAGGAGCAAACTGCCTCCAATATCAGAGGCAGCACCATCATAATGGCTAGTAGCCATTGATAGCCTTGTCCTCTGTGAATTTGTCTTAACAGCATTTAAAGTCGTCCAATTTAGTGGCCATTACCACATCTGGTGGTAGCAAATCCCAGAGTTTAAATATGTTCTGTGTGGGCATAGAAGATTCAGGACAGACAAAAGTTAACTAATATTCAGTTTCATTGGATGACCCCGTGTTCCAATGTTGTGAGGAATTATGTGTGCCACTATCAAATTTCTTTGCATTCTGAATCTAAATTTTAGTTGACAAAGCCATTATAGATGAGGGAATTCTGCAGTCAAAGCATTTTCATAATTTTTTTACACTCCAAGTGTAAGCAAACATGATGGTAAACAAATATTCTACAAGGTCATGGGTTGGCAGAGGACATGGTCTGTGTGAAACTTGAGAGCCTCAGCATTTGTTTTAAATATCACAACATACACACAAGTTCCTATTCTTCACTGCAAAATAAACTTCAGAATGTATTGTCATAATATGCAGGGCATGCTGTGGATCTCTGAATTCAAAGAATGGATGAATGGAGCTTTTGGTAATGTACTCTAATGCTTTAAGTATATCTAACGATAAACACACCAGCGGGGCTGTGATTTTACACCCCAGGACAAAGCTAGCTTGATTTAGATGAATATATTTTCCGATCAAACTAAGTGGAGCTTTAGGGCTCTGTACAACTCCCTGCCTACATCAAAACCAGAAATGACTTTGCTTAGCTCACAACACACATCTGATCCTGTTAATTACTATGTTGGATGTCCCCAAACTTCTAACACCCACAACAACTGGATTCAAGGTCGGCAAAAATCTCGTACCTCCTTTTGAGCTAACTTACTTTTATAAAGGCTTCATACGCATTAAGCATAGTGAGATGGTCACCTTCCTCCACAGCAAATTTTCTGTGTTCTCTGATCTGAAAAGGAGAAACATTTTGGAAAAGTGGCAACAACAAAACCCCCAGACATCCTTTAGACAGGAACCACATTCAGCAATATCAATAGGACTCCATTTGTGAACGAATTTGAGAACATAACCTCAACCTTTACAATTTTCAGTGCATCTACCGTCACTGCTTATTCCTTTCCGCATTTAGTACTTACAATTTCTTCTATGAATAACATTGTTTTGTTAAAAGCATTTTTAAGGGAAATAGCACACATACCCAGTATTTAAAACTACTATGTATTTCTAATAAATCTTTGGAAAAAAGTTAAACATACTGTAATTTTCTCATGCTCACCGCTTGCCACTAGAAGGTATGCACAAATAAATGTAATACAATGTTTTCAACTTAGACGTAATTTGTATGTCTGTCCAACATTTTTTTAGTGGAATAATCTCTTTAGCTACTGAATCATTCATTTTCCAACCTCTCAGAAAAAGTTGAAATGAGTATTTCATTCCTTTCCCCACACCCTGAAAGCAAGTAGCTCACTCAAAAAAATATTCTATTACACCTTTCCACTTCTTGCAAAATATGCCCAAGGTGCTTAACAGCAACAAAGATTAAATAACAATCACAATTAAAATGCAAAGCAAGAAGCATCATATGGAAACAACAGAACTGAAAGAGCCAGAAATAATGAGAGCCAAGGCAACAGAACTGCTGGAACAACATTTTTTCAGTTTGCATTGCAACACCAGTTAAACAGCGAGGGCAAACAGTTTTCCTGGGCAGTGAATTCCAGCGGCTGAGCACCAATGTAACAGAGCTGAGTTCAGAAATGGCACTTACAGCTTGTGTCTTTTGGTTTGGAGGAATCATAAAGATATTCTGGATCTGCATCATGGCTGCAATGCTCAGGATCTCCTGTGAGCAACCAAAATTCCCTGCAAAATGAGTTTAGGGGAGAAGGAACTTTACTTTTACACTGACAACACAAAGCACATTAAGAAAATTTTATCTTCCTCGCACTTGCTGGATTAAAAATAGCTAAAGCAGCTCTCACAGAACTATATGACAGGAAACACTATGGGTTATATAAAGTGGTGGCTCCATCTAAGAGAAGTGCTTCTGCAGGGCTGGGCAACCAGTTTTCACCAATCCCTCTAACTTAATACAGTCCCTCTTCCCACCAAAAAAAGCTTCCCTAAAGGCTAGGTGACTCCCTGGAACTGTATGGGATATAGCATAGAGGGCCGCAATGGGTTCGAGGGATTGGTGGAAATGTGTTGCCTCACTTTGTGCAAACACACATGTTCAGTTCTCAATCAAGTTGAGGAAGGGAGCGCAAGATGTCTGCTCATCACTAGCAACCACACAGAAGATAATCCAACTAAAATCCCATATTGCTTAAGATTCTGGCAGCAGTCTAATACCATCTACTGTGGAGTTGCCTGTTGCATCTCCAGAGCCATGCAGTGGATTAAAGGCTTCCAGCTCAATGTAAAACCTAGGTATGCAAACTACTTTCTTCACTATTCTCTGTTGCATCCGGCATTCAAAGACTTATTTGTTCACATTATGGTATCCAGCTCGAACAACAAATAATCAGTTTACGGCAACAAAACCAAACACAATAGAGGTGGATTTATTTATGGCACTTGCATGCCATGTACCACAACACAGAAGTCACTGGGAGACTTAAAGCAAATTAATTAAGCTGGACTAATGATACACAAGCTGATTTACAGTTGCATGGCACTGGCATTACCTGATTCTAGGAGCATCTTTGCAAACATGGGGTTCAAAGGAAACTCAGCTATCCTGATTCCAAGAGGTTCCGTGAGGCGGCAATATTTATCAAGCCCTGCAGGAAAAAGAGCAGCAATATAAAATGCAAATACATACTGATGACTCAACACAGGGTTATAAAGTATTTCAAAACAAATTAATTATAGGCATGACTCTCTCCACAGAGAGGTACTGTGATACTGCATGTACTATTCTGCGGAACTAAAATTCTAGCTAAAATTTATTCCTGCGCCTAAAGAGCAGAAACTGTGAGCTGCTGGGAGAATCAGAGACAAGCCATTCTGCAGCATGCAAGATGGGTTTCTTGGGCACTCCATGGGATTATAGACAAGCTGCTGTTTATTAACTCCACCAGTAAGCCAAAAGCAGCAGCCTGAATACCACTGCAGTACTGACTTCATCCATGAGGCAAAGCAGAAGCATTTTTATTTTACTACATTTAAGCCCACCCTTCTTCTAACATGGAGCTAAAGGTGGTAAACACGGTATTCCCATGATGGCTCCCATTCAGCTACTGACCAGACCCGTATCTTCCCAGCTGCCGCAAGGTAGCTGCCTCACATGGTCTCTGATCTTGTAGCGGCACATATATAACACACCCTTACTTCTTTTACTGTAGGATTTAATTATGCATGCTTTGCAAATAGATCTGATAGCAACCTCAGATTATAGGTATTATCACAGAGGGCAAAGAGGGCTCCTGGAGCTTCTAGCCAAAGCTACTATTAGCAGACAGAGGCCTAGCTATCACTCCCAACTTGGCTATATAAGTTAGTGCCTTCTTTTATATAAAAACTACATAGTCAATATCCATATAGGCTGAGAATAGGAAAGAGAGAGGGTTCTAATGAAAACCCCACACCTTGAAGGACTGCTTTACTTATTATAATTCTCAATTACTCCAACGGACTATATAATGAGAAAGGCTTGTTCACATGTCTGTACTTGCAAACCACCCATGAAAATCCATCAGCGGCTTGCCTTGCACATGTGTCTCCATACGAACCAAACAGAATTATTATTATGGGAACACAATGTGAAAGCAACTACAGAAAATCTGAGCATGGAAACCCGACTCAGACAGTGATTGTAGAGATAAATGACTATCTTGAAACCACAACACCTTGTTTAAAGAAAATGCATTATCTCCCAGCATCTCAAAAACCTGACATGCTCTTCATGAGATGCTAATAAAAGTCTACTATTACAGTTCAGTTTTGCTTTTAACATTTTGGAGTTAAGTCTAAAGGTGCAGGGCCTTAATGAACTTAACAGCATTGCTGGCAACGGTGCACAATTCAGCTGAAAAATATGACGGCAATCAGCAGAGGAACCTTACCTCCTAATGCATAGAGCAGCTCCAAAGCTTGTACCATTGACTGAGCAGGTGGAGGCTGGAGGGAAAACACATACATACCATTTGTTCTGCCTACTGTAAGGACATTTATTACATTACAATGAACTCAAGGGACACAGATAAGGGCTCCCATGTGATCTCTCACCCAGGTCCCGCTTATGCCTGCAGATATTTCCGGTAGAAAACTTTTCTAGATATTTCCTGAAAAACGTCGTGAGCCATGCAGGTGAACACTGCTTCATAGCCTTGTACAGGCTGTGAACATCAAGACTTCAAAATCCTCTGGTTTTGCTAGCTACTCGAGACAAATTTCTCTAGCAGTCATGCTGGATAACATCTCAGCAAACTAGAGCCTTGCACTCAAATGGTTAGCTCAGGTGTCTTCAACTCGGTGCCTGCAGGTGCCAGTACCTTTCATGGCACCCATAAACGATCTCAGTAAAAATCCACAATAGACTGTTTGGCTTTCCTGCTTAGTTCTTGTCCACAATGCCTCAGCATCTTTTAATTAAACAAGCTCCCTTAAACATGTCTACATTTTATTCAATGCAAGATACAAACAGCTTCTCTCTGATGGGGGATCCTTTCCCTACTATTGATGGGACAGCTGATAGGAGGAAGAATGGCTGCACCATTTTGTGGTCCTTTTTCTTTCTTTTTTGCTCTTTTAGATGTGGCAGACATTTTGTTTTGTGTTATGCCATGCCCACATTTTGTGACCGTTGCCCACTACATTAAAAAAAAAGCTGGTGACCCCTGATTAACATGAACAGAGTTTCAGAACTGCCTTGTGGAGGCACATAAAGCACTGAAGTCAAAATATTCAGTACAAAACCAGAAACTTTAAATATTCCAGAACCTCAAGGGTAAGGTGGCACTGGAAAATGGAAGTTATATATATGATCTAATAAATCCAAAGATTTAGAAAGCTACAACTAAAACATCTGCTAGTGGGGGAAATTATTTCAACAGTACAAGTATGCTTACATTTAATATATATGTTTTATTAAATTGCTCATGACAGCTGGAGTGTGTTGAAGGGATGACAGGGGGAACACTGCAAAACCTAGAACCATGTGCTCCAATATTTTGGACAGAGACTGGTATTGAAGGCTGGGATGAAAAGAATCAGGAAGCAAAGAGACACTGGACTTGTATGAGACGGAATCAGAGCAAAAATAAATTTTAGTGAATCATCTGCCAAAGCTGCCCACAAGGGCACAATGGACAACTCAACTGTGCTAGACTGATGCAACATCTTTCCATGCGGCATCACCAAAAAAACACTCTGTTGGAACTGACTTTATTTGTTCAGTGCAATTTCAATGGATCCTGGTCAGAACAAGTCCAGGGTGCTGTGCTGCTCAAAGACAGGGTGCTCTGGGCATGTGGAACCTGACCAGCGCTGCTGTGACCAAAAGCTATTCAGTCCCAGGTTACTCTATATTCTGCATGCTGCAGCATGTTGGTAGCCATGAAGACCCCTAGATGTCCCCATTCAGCAAATAATGTTCAATCACAAGCTAAACATGGGAAGAGACTGTGAAATCTAGTTAACGGATCTATATATTTATCGTTATATACCACTTTCTCGGCTATTAAACATCTCAAAGTAGTTTACAATTAAAACCACAACCACCAAGCAGTCTATTGGCAATAACACCAACATTGTCTGCACCAGAGGGGCTGCAAGGTAGGGTAAATTCCACTGCGTAAATTAACAAAACAGCAGCATTGGATTGGAAAGCCATCTGAAAATGGATGCTTTTTTTTTTTTCCTGTGGAGGTTCCCGAGGTTATTGCTTTCTTTACTAAAAACACAGGGCTCTTCAGAAGCAGTTAGGCAAACACTCGACCTTGGTATTAGGTCCACCCTACTGCCTGAGTGTCAGAGCAATAGTTACTAGGCTATGAACCATTGACCTCTGATGGTCTGCTACCTACTAGTAATGTTCAGAGAACATTAGAGACTTACAAGCTCTTTTTAACCTCTCTCCTTATAGCCTGCAGGCATTTAGAACCTTTATTCCAAAAGAGCCATGAGACATGCAGAAACAAAAGGGAACATAAAAGTGAAGGAACACTTCTTAATCTGGCATTTAACAGGAAGATATGCATATGGTCCACGTGAACACAACAGGACAGCAGACCTTGCAGTCCTTGTAAAATGGCTTATACCGTGTAGACAAAGTTGACAAACCACAGAACACGGAAAAATTAAACAAGAATCCCATACTTACCGAGAGGAAAGGAAATCTAAGCACATTGTCAATTCCTAAAGCCTTGAGCTGCAAGATGACTGGTGCCAGGTTACTGCGCTGCATCTCGGGAATGGTGGACTGTGGCAACTTCTCAAAGTCTTCCTCTGTGAAGAGAGCACACGTTTTAAAATGCAAATCTTTTAAGTCAAAAAACCTCTACAACATTCCAGAACTTAAGAAAAAACAAAAACACACAAGTCATTCCTAATGTTAACCATCATGCTTAGTAAGGAATTGAGATAAACACGACTACTTAACTAAACAAGACGATGTTGGCAAAAGGTGTTTGAAGAAGGTAATTTTGCAGTATCTGGTGCCTGAGAATTTTTATCTAAATGCAAAAGTGAGTAGTGAACATGTCAAGCATGTAGGATCAGAGGTGGAAGGGTTTGAATCAGATGAAACAGGCCTGCAAAGTGAATGTTTCTAAGAAATGTAAACAGAGGGAAACTGATGGAAAGGGATTTTCCCATCACTTCTCACCTGGGAATTCCCTGGTGCCCCCACCCCACCCCAAATACAGCAAGCTGGTGGGTCAGGGGACCCAACTGAAGAGGAGAGGAAAGATTTTTAAGTACAGTGCCACCCAAGCCACAAACAAAAGAGCAAAGCTTTAAGTGTTACACACACTTCACCTGTGTAAAGTCTGTAGCATTTTCCTGAGCGGTTCCGGCCTGCACGACCTGCTCTCTGATTGGCAGAGGCCTTTGATACTGGGACAACCACAAGGCATTCAATAGCTGTTTTGGATTATATGCACGGAGTTTCACAAAGCCACAGTCAATCACAAATGAAATTCCATTGATTGTGATGGACGTTTCTGCAATATTAGTGGCCACTATCACCTGAAAGAATAAAGAAAGCCAGTTTGTTTGGGATTTATTATGCTTGCTGATTCCTGACTTGCTAAGTTTAAGAAAATAAAAGCAGAAAAAGTTTGATGTAAGGGGGGCATCACAATAATGGGACTCTAATTCAAAAAGTTTTCTAGGAGTGGTTAGGCTAGCAGCAATAATGCTTGCCTGAAAAGCTGCATTAAAGAAAAGAATTAAGCACGCACAGACAAAACCCTGAAGGTGCTGCAAAAAAGAGAGCCGTTGATTTGTATAAGAGCAGATATGTACTCTGGAGCTGAGAAGAAAAGCACAAAGTCTTCAAATAATTAAATAAGATAAAATAAAGCAACATATTCACTACAAACAACCTGGGTGGGCATTGTTGCAGGGCAGGGGTTGTAGTCTTGCATTCAGCATTTTGAGGGAAGTAAACGAGCTACCATGAACTACAGCAGCAAAGCATTGAGATGATTAACCTCTAAGCCAGCCCTTCTCAACCTTGGATCACCATATGCTATTGGACTACAACCCCCATCATCCATAACTAGCAGGGGCAGCAGTCAGAGATGATGAGAGTGGTAGTCCAACAAGATCAGGGAGCCCAAGGTTGAGAAAGGCTGCTCTAAGCAATATAAAAATGAGTAAAAATTCTTGTTTAACAAGAAGGGTACATGGAGTTGATCCCAAGAGGGAGACTTACAGAAAACCCTACAGCATCGGTTACCAAATGCAACGTGGGGAAACGCATTGTTACCATGCGGTTACCAAACGCAATGTGGCGAAACATTAATCGATGGTGGGCAATGCCACCAATTCGCAAGCACAGTGCCCTATTCATTTATGACAACGGAAGCAACTTTACCTTTCTAACGTTGGGAGATACCCTCTCAAACACTTTCATCTGCTCAGTAGCAGGTAATCCTGCATACATTGGAAGAACTCGCAGGTGTCTTTTCATCCCTGTGCGAGCAAGGACACGGGCCTGTTCTATCAGCATAGAAACAACTGTTTCCACTTCCTCCTAGAAAAGCATCAATATAAGAAACAGATCAAAATGCATTTAAGCATTTAAGCTCCTATCATATCATGCAGACTGAAGCAGATTTAGAAAATTTAAAAAACAAAATACTGTAGTGTCTTGCTAGAATTTCTTCTCAAGTGCCAGATGACTGGCGATCTTTATCCAATACTCCATGGGTAGGCAAACTAAGGCCCAGTGGCTGGATCTGGCCCAATCACCTTCTAAATCCAGCCCACGCACGGTCTGGGAATCAGCGTGTTTTTACATGAGTAGAATCTGTCCTTTTATTTAAAATGCATCTCTGGGTTATTTGTTGGGCCTGCCTGGTGTTTTTACATGAGTAGAATGTGTGCTTTTATTTAAAATGCACCTCTGGGTTATTTGTGGGGCATAGGAAATCGTTCATTATTATTTTTTTCAAAATCTAGCTCCCAATCAAGTGTTAAAAACAATACAGCATTAAATAGTAAAAACTTCCCTAAACAAGGCTGCCTTCAGATGTCGTTTAAAAATAGGATAGCTGCTTATTTCCTTGACAGTTGATGGGAGGGCGTTCCACAGGGCGGGTGCCACTACCGAGAAGGCCCTCTGTCTGGTTCCCTGTAACTTAACTTCTCGCAATGAGGGAACTGCCAGAAGGCCCTTGGCGCTGAATGTCCAGGTAGAACAATGGGGGTGGAGACGTTCCTTCAGGTATACAGGACCAAGGCCATTTAGGGCTTTAAAGGTCAGCACCAACACTTTGAATTGTGTTCAGAAACGTACTGGGAGCCAATGCAGATCTCTCAGGACCGGTGTTATGTGGTCCCGGCGGAGTAAGTGGGAAGCTCAAGCTGTACTGAAATACATCTGATTGAACGAACTGAAATATGGCTGATGAAGCAAAACCATAGTAAGCAAGTGGAAGCAGGCGACTAGAAGCTTCCCAAATCAGATTAGAGCCACAGTGGTATTTCACAGTTTAGTATAACCCCAAACAAGTGTATGCAGCAACCCTAAATTCTAGAATTATTGAAACTATCATTTTACATCCTTGCTCCCTCTCACACACATTCTGCATTAAAAAAATGTTTTCAGAATTATTGCACAGAACAAAGTGAACATATCTTATACCAAAGTAACAATTTCAACAGGACAAACATTTCTTTTGTGTCTACCTGGCCAGTTAAAAATGCCAGTATATCCCCATCACCTTCTGTCTGATGAATTTTCATAACAGTTTCCACAGTTGATTTCACATAATCTGGAACAGGACTGTTGGAAAAAGCATAGACATGAGTTTCAAGTAAGGAAGGCAAAACTTGCTCTTATCACCAGGATAAAAAAGGGTATAGTTAGATTTTCATAAGTAATACAGACAGCTCACATACTTGAAATATGCTTGATACATGACCTAAAAATTAATCCTGGTGCTTGCTGGACCTTTCTGAATTCTTCACAAGTCACTTAAAATAACTTCACTAGTTTCTTTGACATTGTCACAAATCCTGAATGTCTGTATCTAGAGAGTCCTCCATCTCTATATCACATACACGCACAAGAATTTATTTCACAATTGCAGAAAAACAGTTCAATCAATATGTTGCTTCGACATCTAAACAAGTTACTTTTTTAAACAGTTCATCTGTATTAATATTTGCCTACAAAGCACTCAGCATTGTACAAACACACAAAATTGCTTATTACCTGAATAAATTCTATGCATCTATTATAAGGGCTTGCAATATCCAATTTGACACAACAAGCAAATTTTGTAAGAGCCTCTAACATGCAGAGAAGGAGTTTATTGCCCTATATGAAAATTTACATCTAACTATGGACTGGATCACACATGGAAGCTTAATACTCAATGCCTGCATCATGTGATCTTACATATGCAAGAGGGTCATCACAGATACAACACCATCCACAGAATTTCCAGACCACATCATACAAAAGCTTTCCAGTGAAATCAGTGCACCCATTCAGCTGGCAGGACCAAGCATATAGGAATCAAGTTATGTACATGCACATATGAGGCAGCCCTATATGCACTAGTAAGTAGCCACGTGTTGTTGTTGTTTTAAATCAAATAGCTGTCCTCAGAAAAGAATGGAAATATGTATATTTAAAAATATTAAAATAAAAATTGGAGAGATTGGAAACTCAAGCCTCTAATATTTGCATAATACGCCATCACCTCATACAGTGTTTAAGGAATGAAAAACAAAGGACTAAATTACTACACCCATATATACGCACTGCTTCATGCATCTAATGATATAATAAGCCCTGAAGACTGTCTGCTGGTTCAGCTACCCTAGACTAACATGGCTACTCTCCCAGAATGCTTTGCCGCTGTTACTCGAGCATTCCTCAAAGATGCCTGACACAAACATAGTAAGGTCGCAAGAACATAAAAGGGACACGATTCACAAAGCACACGCTTATCCGCCTATGACACCCACATTTCCTTGCCCAGCGCAAGCACAAAAGCAAGCACTGTGTGTGCAGGGGTAAAAAAACGAGCCCACTTCTGCCACCGGACCTGTCCATCTCCTTCTGTGGAGGAGGAGGAGAGAGGGCATGAAGGTGCTGCCAGGTTTGCCCATATCCCTTCTGTGGAGGGGGAAGGGAAGGACTAAGATTCCAGGGGAGGAAAAGCATGAAGATTCCACCGAGTCCCCGTAGCACTCGTCTGAAGTCTGCTCCAGCTGGCCGGTGCAGAAGGGGACGGGGGAAGGTTCCCGAAGCCCTCCTCCACTGAAGTCTGCGCCTGTTGCTCACAAAATAGGAGAAAGACACATTCAATTGGAAAGCAAGATTTCAGGTTTACATCCTCAACGTGCCGGCACCCATGTAAAAGACAACTCTTTAAAATAATACCTAAGGTCCGTTTAATGCTTCCCTTTCCCGCCCAGACTTTTAGTCGACAAGCGGGTGTCACAAGATGCACGCTCCTCTAGTCACCACTTACGAGTATTAAACAGGAACAGACCTCTGAATGTAGAAGACATCCACGGGAAATGTTCGCCCTTCCACTGTAAGGATCATGCTGGTATCTTTGCTTGGGTCACTGGTCTCATTTTGGTTAAAGAAATCCCTAAATTTCTAGGGCAAAGATAGCAAACAATTTTTTGAAAATCAGTGCGTTATTTAAGAGAGTCCAGTTCCTAACTCAGGAGCCAAAGGTAGGGTGTTGCTACTATTCTCTTTCAAAATATAAGCATAGGGAGGGACGTAACTAACTCGTTCTGTCACTGGCAAGGATTTCTACTTGAGCAATGGACCTTCCCCCATTCATCTCCCTGAGGGTGTTCCTTGCCCTCCTCACATCTGCTCTGGAGGACTGGGGAAACCCCCAGATCAAATTTAAGAGACACATGGCGAGTTCCACTGTGCAAGTGAAAATCCTTGCACTGACAGAGCAGATTAGTTGGATATCACCTGTTATTTTCTGGAAAGCAAGACATTACAGTGAGCAACTTATGTTCCAGGTGACTTCATTTACTTATCTACATATGTATGGAAGAGCATACATAGGTCCTGGGATTTAAGAAGAACTTTTCCTCCTAGTGCTGTGTTGTGATTGGGAGGAAAAAACATCCCGGGTAACCTGGCAAAGACACCTATAATCCCTCATGTATCACTGCAAACAGCTGGTAACAGGATGCGCAAAGAAGGAGAAGACTTCTGACACAGATTTTGCTGGTGGTGGTAAATTAAAGTTAGTCCCTGCTAGGCCACTTAGAATGAATTGGGCAGGTCTGACCCAGCTTGCAGGCTCAGATTTGCCACCCCAGCTCAGAACATATGGAGGTCCAGCAATAATTTAATCTATCTCTGTGAACTTCTGATATTTTATGCTGCTACACTTCAATATATAATATATAATACCTAATAACATTAACAAGTACATTTCCCCATAACTAGTGCTGAAATATTTTTCAAAGTAGCAACCAGCCTAGGTATCCTTGGTTTTGTAATTTCTTCCTAATTTGCTTAATCTAGTAATTATCAGATGTTTTGGAGAAAATATGGCTGAGATCAGAAGTTTTAAGTTGTGTTACCAATGTAAATGGTGCAGCCTTTTGATTTTTAATCAAAAACAGAAAAAAACAGATCAAACTGAAAGAATGCAAAAGTTGCAATTTCTGCAATAACTATTTCATAAATATGAACAAATCTAATCCCCTTTAAAATAAACTGATCACACAATTTCACAAATTAGGTATTATCTGCTCTAGAACCTTCTAAAAAGGATTCATTTCACAGAGTTCAGGGAAATAGCATGTAGTGTAACCCAAAACTAACAGCAATTAAGCTTAAACTTTATGCTTATTCGTACCAGCAGATTAAGTGTAGGCAATACAATCCAAATTTTCTTTTACTTGGATTGGAAATACAAATCTTAGTGGCTTCATAAATGTTCAACTCAATGGAAGGCAAGCATTTCAGCTGTGAAAGTTATCTGGGTGAGATTAAAATGAAAGCTGAAAACCCTTTCCCCCTTCCACCACCTCCAAAATTTTCATTGTTAAGAAATTAGTTCCCCTGCCCAAACTGATAGGGGGTAGGGGGAGAGACCCAGTAAGTTAATGGGAGTTAACATAAAATCTTAACAGTGATTTTGTTCAACTGCCATCTATTCTGATGGGGTTTGGTCTGCCTCTGCATGAATGTGTTGATTAGGCTACCATGTCCCATACTCTACTGAAGAGAACCTCCAGATGTTATTAGCCTCTAACTCTCATCAGCCCCAGTCAGTATAGCCAGTGATAAAAGATGATGGGAGATGTCAACATCTGGGGGGCCACAGGCTCCCCATTACTCTTCTATAGAATGAAATACAAGATGATAATTGTTTCACTTTCTATCAGAAATAAAACAGGAAAATTATTTGAATCTAATATGTTAGTTCTACCTCTGCATCCAGTGTAGCTGATGCAACAATCAGGCGAAGGTCTCCTCGTTTCTTTTGAACCTGTGAGACACAGCAGGGGTTTTTTAATGCTCAATTATGGTTAATCACCACAGAATCCCAGAACTGTTTGTCTAATTTATGAAAGACATTGGTCTCATATGCATACAAAAATAGCAAAATCAAGTATCTCTATTTTTCAGGAAATGACTTATCCTATTCAGAGTCCATGCACCACAAACCAAGCCAGATATTCCCACGTTTGAAAATCATGTAGGTGTATGAGCTTAAGTAATATGATACCACACAGGTGGCGCTGTGGTCTAAACCACAGAGCCTAGGGCTTGCTGATCAGAAGGTCGGCGGTTCGAATCCCCGCAATGGGGTGAGCTCCCGTTGCTCGGTCCCTGCTCCTGACAACCTAGCAGTTTGAAAGCATGCCAGTGTAAGTAGATAAATAGGTACTGCTCTGGCGGGAAGGTAAAACGGCGTTTCCGTGCGCTGCTCTGGTTCTCCAGAAGCGGCTTAGTCATGCTGGCCACATGACCCGGAAGCTGTACGCCGGCTCCCTCGGCCAATAAAGCGAGATGAGCGCCACAACCCCAGAGTCGGTCACAACTGGACGTAGAAGAAGAAGAAGAAGAGTTTGGATTTGATATCCCGCCTTTCACTCCCTTTAAGGAGTCTCAAAGCGGCTAACAATCTCCTTTCCCTTCCTCCCCCACAACAAACACTCTGTGAGGTAAGTGGGGCTGAGAGACTTCAAAGAAGTGTGACTGGCCCAAGGTCACCCAGCAGCTGCATGTGGAGGAGCGGAGACTTGAACCCGGTTTCCCAGATTACGAGACTACCGCTCTTAACCACTACACCACACTGGCTCACGTAATGGTCAGGGGTCCCTTTACCTTTACCTTTTATCACTAAAATAATCCTCACCACCAGTGTATCATGCTTACAAACCTTAGGAAAATGTTTTATGAAATGATGTTTGACTTAAAGCCCTGTAAACTATTAACAAGTATGGTAGGATTCATCTTGCTGTTTCCATCAGAACTGTTCCTTCTAAAATAGGATCCATTATGAAAATCAACTCAAAATTAGCACCACTGCAAGCTTAACAGAGCAGCAAACTCTTTGATAGTAGGGCCAAGGTAATTAAATGTGGGGGAATGGAGGTAGGATGCACAAAGAGAGCTCTAACCTTTTTTAATAAGCCAATGGCAATATCTGTATATAAGGTCCTCTCATGGGCTTCATCCAACATGATGACACTGAATCAAAGAGAAAAGAGCAGAGTTCCAATTATGAGATATGAAAGCTGAAATTAAGTCCACCTGAAAAATTCCAATTTACCAAGTGTAACACATTATATAATAGGCACAATTCAAATAATTATGGAAGTAGTATGCAAGCTGATCTTGAAAGTCACACATTTATGACTCAGCTGAATTTAAAACTCCAGCAGAGCTGCAATAACCATAAATTAAACACGACTGTGGGGGGAAAATGGAATGGGTAATGAAACGCTAGGGATAGTTCTTCTTAAGCCAACGGTAAAAGAAGAGTTTGGATTTGATATCCCGCTTTATCACTACCCGAAGGAGTCTCAAAGCGGCTAACATTCTCCTTTCCCTTTCTACCCCACAACAAACACTCTGTGAGGTGAGTGGGGCCGAGAGACTTCAAAGAAGTGTGACTAGCCCAAGGTCACCCAGCAGCTGCATGTGGAGGAGCGGAGACGCAAACCTGGTTCACCAGACTAAGAGTCTACCACTCTTAACCACTACACCACAAAATGTGAGGCCTGAAGATTGTGCATGCAAGTTCATTTATAACGGACAGGGAACCAGTTTCAGCTTAAGGGCCACATTTCCTTATGAGCAACCTTTGGGAGGCCGCACATCAGTACAGGTGGGGACAGAGGTAAAACTGGGTGTGACTACAGTACTGGGTAATAAAAGTTGGTGGAGCAACAAATGTGACTCTTTCCTCGGTTCAGCACAATACTGAGAACAGAACAGAAATTGTGCCCCATTAGCTAAAGTGGTACCTCAGGTTAAGAACAGTTTCAGGTTAAGAACGGACCTTCAGAAAGAATTAAGTTCTTAACCCGAGGTACCACTGTACATTCCAACCACACAAAAGTCAGGGGTTTCCACACACACACACACACACACACACATCCCTTCATCTTCCTCCTGGGCAAGAAGGCGGCATTAACACAGTTCAATGACACATCTATGCCTGGCAAATGAAGTCAAGGACAGCACAGAGCAGGACTGGTGAAGGGTACAGCCTGGGGCAAGGGTGTGTGGCCTGAGAAAAGGCCCAAGAGCTGGATGCAGAAGCCTAGACAGCTGCGTTAAACCCCTGGGACAGAGGTTCTTCAACCCTGACAAATTGTGGTATTCCTCTGGGATCAAGGGCACTGTACTTCATTGGTGCTGCTCCTAATTTGATGCACAATTACAGAAGGTGGTGCTCAGAATTTATTGTTTTATTAAGTTCCGTAAGTATCCATGGCAAATTACAGAACAATAAGCAAAATGAAAAAAGTTAATCACTGCTGCCAAATGAAAGATAAATGTGAGCAAAAGGAAAAGGTGGGGGAAGCCTTACATCATTCATGTATACAGCAGTTAAAAGGGTTGTTAGCCTAACCTGTATCTTGTTAGCAATGGATCAGCCATCATTTCTCTCACCAGCATCCCATCAGTCAGGAACTAAAACACAGATACAAGAACAATCGATGACTTGTTCAGCAACATCAGCAGCACAAAACTCTAGGCAACAGATACACAATATCCTGCATTTCCAAAGTTCAGAGCCAAGAATGCAACTTTGTGAAGCCAGGAAAGCAATATCCACATACAAGAAGGTACCAGCGTGATTGTGGGAACTCCAAATTGTGTAGAAGTGACAAGCAACTTTATCTAACAACAGAAAGCTAGGTGGGGGTGAGGGGAAATGGAGTCTCCTGGAGAAGGGCACGGGCTAGCTGTCTGGAATACTGAACAGGTGCTGCAACATGTACATTTTTGCAGGTTTCTCTTGCGTCTAATGCGTTTTCTCAGCCTATGAATCTCTACTGGCTATGTGTGGTGCTATGTATAGTGCTGAGTATGGAATAGTGTTTTAGTGCTATGTATGGAATAAAGAAATGGGTATACATTTCACTGGATTAGGAAGATAAAGGGACACAAATTTCTGCACCTATGGGTCACGGGCATTTGTTCAAAGATGTTACCTTAATCCTTGTAGCTTGTGGATCAGTACAATCATCAAATCGTATGCAGTACCCAACTTCATGACCCAGCAAGGCACCCCTTTCCTCAGCTACCCGGCCTGCGATCTAATAGAAGGAGGAGAAGGTTTAAAACTGTAGACATCAAACAAAACTTAATTCTTGAACTAGGCCTCATTAATAATAATTGACATGTGTCTGTAGTTAGAAACTGAATTCAGCTAATTTGGCTAAACTGAGCTAATCCTGTTGGACAATTATATAACTTCTGCACAAGCATCCCTCGTATGACAGGGATCTTTTAGGATCAGTGGAGTTGCAATTACTGTGCTTCTACAGGGACTGCACAACCTACAGGTTTAGCACAACCTATATTTGAAAACTCTACTCATATTAGTGACTCAACACAAGGTTTTGATTGCCCAAACAATAATAGTAACAAATAAATAATATTTTTTATTATTTATAAACACCATCAAACTCAGAAAGCTGACACTGGAACATCAATGTAGCTAGAATCCATTTATACAGCAGGCAGGCTATTTATAATGCATGTATTCCCTCAATTACAATCAACCACTTGACTCTGGATGAATTCTAGTTGTGCCAGATGTAGCCCCAGGATATAACGGCCTACAATTGTATTAGCAGTTAGGCTGGCACTTCATGATGTATTAACACTTTCCCTGGTATCCCTCAGTGCCTTGCATGCATTGCAATATTTCTCAAATGGTCACAGATAAAAACATCTCCTCTCGGGAACCACCTTACTGTCAGCCTATGTGAATTTAAAAATAGGATTGATGAATGGTTAGAAATAGGAAGGTCGAATCACACAGTCAGCTTAATTCCTGGATATATGGATTAACAGCTAGCTTTCCGCCCTCTCAATTTTCATACTTTCCTAATTCAAAAGAGAAAATTTTGAATGGCAGAAGTCTCAACATTAAAATGCCTGAACATATACAACTAGGTTTTTCAACCCAGAAGGCCACTGCTCAAGGATAAGGGTCTAAAACACACCACCAGTTTCTAGCACCCAAAAGAGTGGGGTCTACCCACCAAATTTTATGCCAAAATACATTCCTGCCATTTTTTTAGTGTTGCAGAACTTTCCTGTTTTGGAACGAGAGACTAATATAACTACTTCTACAGACCTATTTTTAGAATGCTTGGCTATTTCCAAAGCATAAGTTGCACAAAAGCACTGAAGCCTTTTCTGTGTACATTATCTTCCCATAGTCCCTTTCTTCTTGACTCCATGTTTTCAGGCAATATATTTTCATCTCCTGCACTCCCAATATTTCCAGCTTACTGAAGAGAGAGAGAGAGACTAACAAGCTTAAAACCCCTCACACTTCATATGAATAGAAAAACTGCATTGTACAAAGCCAAACCACTTGTCCACTAGCCCAGTGCTGTCTGCTCTGTTTGGCAACAGCTTTCCTACAGAGGAAATTCCTAGCTCAGCTACCTGAACTCCCTTAACTGGAGATGGCAGGCTGAAAATTGAATCTGAAGTAGCCACTCGAAACTGAAAATTGAATTCTCTGCACCCACTCAAAAACTGAACTAGGCTTCCTCCCCATGTCATGCTTATGTTTCTTCAAGACTGCTTTCTCTAACAATGTTCTTATCAGCAATAAGCAGCCCACTCTAAAAATCAATTTCAATTAGTTATAGTGCTACAAATGAAAGCACAAACTGGATCCATGAAAGGCTCTTGTGCCAAAGGCTGAAATATCCAGGCACGTTTCACATTTGTTCATCAAAATGGGCCATATGGTAAAGCTATGCAGCCTTGAAACAAATTAAAAACAAGCATAAAAATGCAAATCCAAATTGTGTGTAAATACACAGCCTGGAGCACATTTTAGAAGAGGCAAAAATTCTCTCTAAACAGAATGCCTGTAATATAGCATTCTCTCTCTCTCTCTTTATATAATCCCTGCACATCATAACTGCTAATTCAATATTTTGTAAAATAACAATGACAACTACCCTTCTGGCAAAGAACAATCACACAATAAATGAACAACGGCTGCAAAAATGTTAAATATTTTCTGCACCCTACTTCAAGCCCTTGCAATAAAAAAATATATGAACCATGTTTTAATGGTTACATGCTTCTTTGGATCCTGTACAAAGCTGTTCTCACCACCCTAACTTCCTACTTTTAATTACAGGTAGATAGCTGTGTTGGTCTGCCATAGTCGAAACAAAATTTAAAAATTCCTTCCAGTAGCACCTTAGAGACCAACTAAGATTGTAATTGGTATGAGCTTCTGTGTGCATGCACACTTCTTCAGATACTCAGATCATACCAATAACAAACTTAGCTGGTCTCTAAGGTGCTACTGGAAGGAATATTTTTTATTTTGTTCCTACTTTTAAGCTGATGAGCTTTAAACTGCTATGCACTGCATCTCCTCGAAGTAAAATCTTTTGCTTGACCATGATGTTATTCCAGCAAATGGCTTCCATTGAGAGAACCACAGGATGCGGCAGTTTAAACCCATTGACAAAAAACTGGAAGCAGGACAGCAAACCCTGAGAAAGAAGCTTTCACCAATACTTGCTCAGTGTTTCAGTCAAAACAAGAAAGAATTCTTCACCAGAATTCATGCTCAATTGTGATGGGGAAAGAAAGAAATTACTTTGTTCTTACTACACACATCATTAGGAAGGCGGGGAAACTGGGCTAACACCCTATTGCAAAGATTTTCACTGAAAACATAGGGCCTTAAGCAAGTCAGCATCTGTCAGATTCTGTGTCATAAGACAGTTACGGAGCCCAGTTAAGGTCCCATTACCACATGGATTTTAATGAGATTCAGGAATGCTTAGCTATAATAATAATAATAAATTTTATTTATATCCTGCCCTCCCCAGCCGAAGCCGGGCTTAGGGCGGCTAACAACAATAAAACAGTACAAAAGTACATGCACTGGGTTGTGTCAAAAGTTGATATAAACGGTGCTATACAAAAGGTTGGGATGCAGGTGGCGCTGTGGGTTAAACCACAGAGCCTAGGACTTGCCGATCAGAAGGTCGGCAGTTCCCTGTGGCGGGGTGAGCTCCCATTGCTTGGCCCCAGCTCCTGCCAACCTAGCAGTTCGAAAGCACGTCAGAGTGCAAGTAGATAAATAGGTACCGCTCTGGCGGGAAGGTAAACGGCGTTTCCGTGCACTGCTCTGGCTCACCAGAAGTGACTTAGTCATGCTGGCCACATGACCCGGAAGCTGTACAATGGCTCCCTTGGCCAATAAAGCAAGATGAGCCCAGAGTCAGTCATGACTGGACCTAATGGTCAAGGGTCCCTTTACCTTTACCTTTATATTATCATTCCCCAAAAGAATAATACGTAGACAAATAGTTTGAACTGGAGGCACTCACTGAAACACAAGCAACTCTCCGGGGTTGTGTTACTCCCACCACTCTCCCTTCGGCAGTCCAGCCAGCTTCTGTTAGATACTGTAATGAGGAAACAAAGTTATTAACATAGATGGTATAAAAATTCTAAGTTAAATAGTTGCGCTAGCGGAAGCCGGTGCAACAATTCCTGTTAGCACAAGGAACCTTCCTGCCTCTCCTTTCTATCTAAGTTCACAGCCTGGGGCCAGGGTACCTGAAGGATCACCTGTCTCCACATGTTCCTGTTGTTCACTATGATCCTCATAAGAGTTTCACAAGTTCTCCTACTATCTAGGGCATTGTGAGGGGTTTTAAGGGGGGGGGAAACGGTCAGTGGTGGTGCCCCAGTTTTGGAATGCCTTCCTCAGAGAGACTTTTCAGGCACATAATGAAGACATCATATTATCTCATAACTTTTTTATTTAATTTGATCCATTTTGTAGATGCTGTATTGCACCCAACGCTGTCCATGCTAAGATGCTCATGCAACAGGACTTCCAACTTCTTCATCTCTCCTCTGCAGCCTTCTAGGTGCCCTCAAAATCTGCTTTAGCACTAGGGAACCCTCCAGAGAAAATATGGACTGCATGCAGGAGAAAGAAAGGTGAAGTCCCATTGTTAGAGCAGAAGTCCATTTATACAATGTTGGACTCTGTTCTTTTATATATTCTTCTGCTTTTATTGTACTTGCAAACTACCCTCTGTACTGGGTTGAAGGGTAAGAGTATAAATTCCTACAGATGAAGAAAAATGAATCATTTCATACTCACTTGAGGAATCTGAGTGCTTTTCCCACATCCTGTTTCTCCAACAATCACCAATGTCTGATAATTTTCTACCAGATAAAGGATGTGATTTCTAAGCTGAAAGAAAAATAGATATTCAAATGTGATTTAGAATGACTGAAGAAAACAAGTTCAAAACATCACCTGAGAGAAGTGTTCGTGCAAAAACAGCATAGATTACAACCTAGCACAAACTCCTTAAAACCCACTGAATCAAACATGTGCCTAAACTGATAGTGGGACGTGTGCATTTTCATCCACTCAGAGTTACTGTACAAAATAATTGAATGTTCTAAAAAATTATTTTGTCAGAGGAAATGCACATTCTATGTTGCAAATGCACTATCAGTTTTCATACTGCAAAACAAATGTAGAAGAAATGGTAAAATACCCAGAAGATAATGTGCACAATAATTCAATGCAAAGTACTTAAAAGAAATTGATACCTTAAAAACTGGTAGTTTTTGCCTCTGTTGTTCAATAGAAAGGGAAACATACGGATTATAGATCACTGAAACACTAGAGCTTTCACCAGCGCTCTGTCTCTCCTCTGAAAGGCTGACACCAGGCCCTTCTGTCCCTGTATGACCAAATAAATAAATGTCACTACTAATAGGATGACAAGACTTTTAGACAAATGCAAAGAAAGTGGAAAATTAAGTTTATCAGAATTAACCCCTGGAGCTTTTGTAACATCCAAGGCTATCATGCAAGGGAGAATTACAAACCAGTGTGAATTCTAAGATATTCAAAATTTGTTTAAACCACTAGACATAGCTTGCATGTGGCCCTTAGCCAGTCTCAGTACAGCACACCAAGCCCCAGGAAGTCCCACCCACCTTTCCCCACTGCCCAGCTGATCTTCCATGGGGAGGATTGATTATCTATACATAACCAGTGTGTGTCTGTGTGGGCAATGCAAAGCCTATAAAACCTTGTCCCCATTTTTATGTAAACAGGTTTTACCGAGTTAAATAGAGCCTTCCAAAACTGTCACTCTATGTAGATGGTATTGGCTGTCAGCTGGGTACTTGTGATATAGAATCCTCCATGAAGTTTTAAATTTATTTTTCTGTCGAAAACTTCGCTGGACTGGTCATGTTGTGAGGATGCCTGATGATTGTCTTCCAAAGCAACTACTCTATTCCGAACTTAAAAATGGAAAGCGTAATGCTGTTGGTCAACAAAAAAGGTTGAAAGACTGTCTCAAGGCAAATCTAAAAAAATGTGGTATAAACACTGACAACTAGGAAACACTGGCCTGTGAGCGCTCCAGTTGGAGAACAGCCTTTACCAAAGGTGTCATGGGCTTTGAAGACACTCGAACTCAGGACGCAAGGGAGAAACGTGCTAGGAGGAAGGCACACTTGGCAAACCCACACTGTGATCAACTCCTGTCTGGAAACCAATGTCCCCACTGTGGAAGGACGTGTGGATCCAGAATTGGCCTCCACCGTCACTTACGGACTCATTGTTAAAACCGTGTTTATGGAAGACAATCTTACTCGGCTACGAGTGATCACCAAAGAAGAAGAAGAAGAACGTAGAATCATAACCTCCATTGCAAAGGATCCAGGTGTCTACTCCATTGAACAGAAAAATCTGGAACTTAGGTCTGGGAGTCTGCCGCTGGCAGCCATCCAGCTCCAAGGTAGTTATGAAGCTGGAACAATCCACAGGAAAGGATATCACACCATATAAATATTGCCAAGTAACGTGTCGGTTAAGGCCCTTAACAGCTGTAATTTCCTGACATTTTGGAGATTGAGTGAACATGGAGAGCTCTTAAACACGACATGTTAAACCAAAAGGTTTTAGTTGTTTGAATTTGGGTGCATTCTGAGAAGGCTTTTCCTACAACTCTCTCATCAGGCAAACTTAAAATTGAAAATGAGAAACTGGTGAGAAAAGGAAGAAATACCCACATTAAAAAGAAGCGAGACACCATTTAGAACAGCAGGATTGCCTATTGGGACCAATTTAATAATTGAAATAAGGTTAGAAAAACGTGTTCCAACATTTTCCTAATCATGCTCCTGTGTCTTTAATGGGGCTGCCACTGTTTGTCTGTAACAACTAGTGTATTCAGTGACATTAGCAGGGGGTCATGCTGGTTCTCATAGTGTACAATCACCCCAGCTAATTTCTATGGCTGTTAAAATCTCAGAAGTGACTGGGGGTTTTCTAGGTAAGTTGGCAAGCCTTTATTTAAAAGCTTGCAAAATAAAAAGGAGAAAATTCAGCACATGCCATTTTCTAACTATAAGACACAGAACTTCCCCACTCCCTCATTTCTCTTTATTAATGATGGAATGCAGTTCACCACACTCTAACAAATTATGCATTTATTTATGAGTAAGCCCTACTGATATCACTAATGATTACTTTTGAGTAGGCATGCACAGAAGCCAACTGCAAGGCCCAATCCTAAATGCATTCATTGAATAGGGACCTGAAGACAGCAATTCTATGTACGTTTATTAAGAAATAATTTCACTGAATCCAGTATGGCTTAGCTCCTTAAGAAGTGTGCCGAGGATGACAGAGCCTGCTCAACTCAGAAGGACTTATCACGCATATAGGATGCATGTTTCAAGATGTTTTATCTTTTCAAAGGCTCACTTAATAATGCCTGCAACAACTACAAACAAACTACAAACAAACATTTAGTCAGAAATAAATTTACCTTTCAAAACCATATCATTAATCCTTGTGGATTTGCTGCAGATTACTAAAGAGCTACTGACAGCTGTAAGTGCTGAATCATGCAACTGATGTTCCAAGGAGAAAACAACACCCCCATCATTATGGATATGCATAATTTGCAGTTTTCCCTACGCAAGTTCATTGAGATGCCCTTCAGTTTGTAGGAGCTATGCCATATGGTTGCAGAACACAATAAATGAAAACCTCTAATTATGCCAGGCTGACTTAGGCCCAGTCAGGATACATTTCCAGGATGGTATGAGCAGCACTCAAGTAGCATGTGTGTGTATATATCTTTGCAATCACAATTTTGAAGATCCCCATGCACCAAGTTTTTCCAAAACTTGGTTTTCCTGACATATTTGTCCATATGCATGGGGTGGTACAGTATTTGACTAGGTTTATTCACAGTACTCCTACTGCATTAATGAACATGACTTGTTGTTATTTAGTCGTGTCCGACTCTTCGTGACCCCATGGACCAGGGCACGCCAGGCACTCCTGTCTTCCATTGCCTCCCGCATAACGTGACTAAATTAGTTCAATTAATTTCAGTGGGTCTTCTCTGAGTAAAAGTGTTTTCTGTTAGTATAAACATGTATGTCTGGTTACATACATATGTGTGGTTATATATGTCATGATGGTCAAGTTGTTATTTTGTAGAGTAGCACTGTTTATCATTCACGGGCTTCTCAGTAGTTGGTTAGTTTACAGCCCAACCTTCTACTTCATTAAGCTCAGATGTGATGGTGACTTTTAGTTCTAGGAAACTTCAAAGATTTCGTCCATTTGTCAAAAGTAGTTCAGAACTGCATAGCCATAATGACAAGCATGAAACTTTCCTCACTATGCATCAGCATCCCAACACATTTGGTAGCCAATATGCTTCAATTGGCTGTTCTTCGTGATGTTTTGGACAAACTGAAGATCATCTCCGGGTGATTTCTTATTCAAGGACAAATCATTGCCATGGCTTGTTTTTGACTCAACTGTGCAGCACTAAATGGTCCCAAAGAAACAGGCACTCCTCAAACAAACTTGAGAAAGGTATCAACATGGGGACAATACAGATATAATGCAGAATTCAATACTTGTCCTGCTAATGGACCCATTGAAGTTGATAAACGTGACAACCTTTGGTTTTATCAATTTCAATGGGTCACTGAGGAGGGCTTAATTGTATACAACTCATAATTGATAGCTAATGTTTCACATTCATTATACATCTGCCACCATATTCTAAAGGTAAAGGTACCCCTGCCCGTACGGGCCAGTCTTGACAGACTCTAGGGTTGTGCGCCCATCTCACTCAAGAGGCCGGGGGCCAGCGCTGTCCGGAGACACTTCCGGGTCACGTGGCCAGCATGACAAAGCTGCATCTGGTGAGCCAGCGCAGCACACGGAAACGCCGTTTACCTTCCCACCAGTAAGCGGTCCCTATTTATCTACTTGCACCTGGGGGTGCTTTCGAACTGCTAGGTTGGCAGGCGCTGGGACCGAGCAGCGGGAGCGCACCCCGCCGCGGGGAATCGAACCGCCGACCTTTCGATCGGCAAGCCCTAGGCGCTGAGGCTTTTACCCACAGCGCCACCCGCGTCCCCGCCACCATATTCTACAGGTACACAAAAAATGAATTCAGGCAATAACGAAGTAATTGGTCACTTCCAAATTATTCCTGCAGAGGCAATATGAGCCATTACATCCCGGCCTGTTTCTCGTCAGTTCCAATTAAAAATATCTGAGAGTTCAAGCACAATCTTTGTTAAAACTTGGCTCATGCTGGTGATCAATAGAAGCAACACAATGTCCAAAGATGTATCATAAATATATATGGCATGAATCATGTACATCACTTCTGCAAATGCAATGTTCTTGTCAGTAGCTAACAAAAGAATTGGTAGAACCTAAAATCCAATCAAATTATAGTTTCTATGGCAGTCAAGGTCATAAGAGTTATAAGGTTTAATTTGCAACATTGCCTGTGGTAAATAAACGGCAGTATAATACTTAACAAAAAATAGTTTCAGATTAAATTTACCATCCAGTATGCTCAAAAGAACCAGTTTCAAAAAGCAGCAGTAATTTCCTCAATGCCAATCAATATGTGTAGATAAAATTACCAAGCATATAGAAGAGCAGGTCTTGCTGGAGCAAGACTGACTAGCATCTGACTAACCTTTTTGAGTGTGTCAGTGAGCATGTAGATAGGGGAAATCTGGGAAAATATTGTGTACTTGAACTTTCAAAAAACTTTTGGTGAAGTCCCTCACCAATGACTCCTGAATAAATTTGCAATCACGTAATATGAGGCAAGAAATCCGCTTTATGAATCAGCAACAGGTTAGAGAACAGAAAACAAGAATAGGAAGAAACATCCAATTCTTATGCTAGGGATCTTTAGGAAAGGAACTGAAAATAAATCTGTTAGTATCACACTGCCTTCATACAGATATATGGTTGACTACCCTAGAAATATTACAGTGGTACCTCGGGTTAAGAACTTAATTCGTTCCAGAGGTCCATTCTTAACCTGAAACTGTTCTTAACCTGAAGCACCACTTTAGCTAATGGGGCCTCCTGCTGCAGCCGCGCCACCGACACACAATTTCTGTTCTTATCCTGAAGCAAAGTTCTTAACCCGAGGTACTATTTCTGGGTTAGCGGAGTCTGTAACCTGAAGCGTCTGTAACCTGAAGCGTCTGTAACCCGAGGTACCACTGTATTTACATTTCCGGTTGCTATGCCCAAAAAAGGATATTAAACAGAAAAGGGTGCTGAAAAGAGTTAAAAAAAACAGTGCTGGAGCAACTCCCGGATGAAGACAGATTTTTTTTAAGGTTAGACAGAAGGTGAGTAAAGGTCACGATAAAATTAGGCAAGGTCTGGTGAAGGTTTTCTCCCTCTTCCATAATACTAGAATTTGGGGACATCCAATGAAGCTGAATGTTGATTTAGGACAGTCATAGGACAGTAGTTGCCTCATTAAGTTTCCTAGCCTAGCTCGAAGATCAATCCTATCAGAGGCAGTTTTAGGGTGCGGCGCCACAACAATGCTGCAGAACGGAGCGCAAGTGAGGGCACCAAATTTCAGCACCACAGAGGGCACCGCTGAAATTTGAGAGCCCACTGATCCTCTGCATGTTGATTCAGAAAAGAGACCCACTAAGTAGGGACGCGGGTGGCACTGTGGGTAAAACCTCAGTGCCTAGGACTTGCCGATCATATGGTTGGCGGTTCGAATCCCCGCGACGGGGTGAGCTCCCGTCCTTCGGTCTCAGCTCCTGCCCACCTAGCAGTTCGAAAGCACCCCTAAGTGCAAGTAGATAAATAGGTACCGCTTTATAGCGGGAAGGTAAACGGTGTTTCCGTGTGCTGCGCTGGTGCTGGCTCGCCAGAGCAGCTTCGTCACGCTGGCCACGTGACCCGGAAGTGTCTCTGGACAGCGCTGGCCCCCGGCCTCTTAAGTGAGATGGGCGCACAACCCTAGAGTCAGACACGACTGGCCTGTATGGGCAGGGGTACCTTTACTAAGTTCAATTGAGCTCCCTCTCAGGTGAGTATAAATAAGATTGCAATGACTTGACTTCAACAATTTCACATATACCCAAAACAAACATTTACATAACAATAACAGTGCAATCATATGCATTTTTACTCAGCAGTAAATTTAAATGTGTTCAGTTGGCCTTACTCCCATGTAAGTGTGTATAGGATTGCAGCCTAAAGGCTATTATTTATATTTGTTCTACCAAAGTGGAAGCATAACACTCCCAATTACTTACACTCCTGTGCAGCCCTTTCTTTATGATAGAAACAGTCCAAACAAAAACATGTACTAACTTCTGACTAGGCACAAAGAAATATACACTAAAAGAAACTATTACTACAAACACTGTTCTTGAATTTTTGGGCAGGTTAGCTCCAGACCCCAAAGTGAGCAATACTCTAATTTAAATAAATATTAATAGGCCTATAAAATTTCATCCACGCAGTGAAACACTGTCTGCTAATTATCCTTCACGCCAGGACAATCATCTCAAGAGCATCATGCATATACCAAAGAGGTAGCATGCAGATTGCTTAGCACTGCAGAAACCCTTTACTGCTAAGTTTGTATTGTTTCATAAGCCATGAGCCAATGAGGACGGGATCTAATTTCACCAGATGAAAATGTTGACCTTGTTGCTTTTTCAGTCACACACAAGCTTTTCCTAATATTTCACAGATGTCCCTTTTTTCAGATTTTGCCCTTTTAGTAATGTACAGAGATCAATACGGAAACATTTCCATATTATTATTACAGCTCTGTGCAACAAATTGCATATATGGTTTAAACTTCTCCCATTGTTTGAACCACTGCGTTAGCACTAGATAACATCTGTTGAAACAAGCATTCTTTCGTTTGATAAACTGCAGGCAGAAAAGATGCAAATCCAATCACTGCTAGGTTTAAACTGAAAAAGTCCCATGGTTTATAATACAGCTTTATTCCAAGTGGCAGGGTAGAAGAATGACAATTAAATATAAGGATTGCAGTCTTGCAATATGTACATTTACCCCAAGGTAAATTCCACTGAGCAGAACAGAGTTCCTAATGAGCCTGGTTCGGAATGGGAACCCAGAATAAGGTTATTTGCCTATTAAGCTCATTATGCTTCATTCATTCATTCATTCATATTAAATTTCTATACCATGCTTCATCTGAGGATCACAGGGCAATTAACACAAAAATATACTACATAGTAATAAACACGATATCTACCCCCCCCCCGAGTTTAAAAGGCCAGATTGTTTAATTAGCTAGGGAGAAGAGGAATGTTTTTCCTTATTATAACATATGATGGGGGCAGGGGTTCAAAGCGGTTTTGAGTACCTATTAACAGGTAGCAGTGAAACTGAAAGAGGACTCCAACACAGACCCTCCCCCTCACTGCAATACGGTACTATACCTATATCTAGTTATCTATCCAGTGCTTTTTTCTTCTAAAATAAATAAATGGGGTACTCTCATTTTCTTACTCATATTGAAATAATGCCCCTCAATGAGGCCAAACTTAGATTCACAAAATGTTTAGGGGTATGCGTCCCCCTAGAAAAAAGCATTGTATCTATCTATCTATATCCCACCAGGAAGCTGGGAGTAGCGCTATAAGCTCCGTTTACAGCACAGCTCACTCGAGCACCCGTTTTTTCAAACCAGCAGCAACAGCGTAAGGATGGCGCGGGTGAAGGTGCTCTCGAGCACGTGCAGAGTACCCCCTCTCACGCCGCCACGTTCCCAAGGAAGGACCGCTAAGTCCAAGGAGCCTCACACGCCTGCAGTGTTTTTATTTTGGTTTGTCCCACGAATACACGGCCTGGGGTGGCGGTGGGGAGATGGTTATCCACCCCCCAGACAATGCATCCTTTGCAGCGCCGGGGGAAAGAGAAATAGGCTTCTCCTCCTCTCCGTCCTCCGCAAGGAAAGCGCCTCGCAACATCCCGGACCCCGCCCACCGAGCCCTCGAGCCCTTCAGCCGCGCGAAAAGGCGCTTCCTCCAAAACTTCCCCCGGCGCCCCCCCCCCTCAGCTTCTTGCACTCCCACCCCCCTTTCCCCAAGAGGTTCAGCCCTTACCCGGCTTCCAAAACTTCAGCGGACCGACGGGCGCCGCCATCTTGGGGTGAAAGGTCAAAAGGAAGCGAAGGAGCCCGCTCCGCAACAGCGCGGCCCCGGAGTGCGCGTCACGTGCCCGGGGAGGGCTTTGCTATTGGGTGCGGGGTTGCCATGGTTGCTTTAACTCTCAGGCTCGAGCCACCGCCGCCTCCTTCCCAGCCAGGCTGGCTGCGAAGGAGAGCGGGAGCTTTGCTTTTTTTGTACGGTGCTGCCTCATGAACAAATGCAACGCCTTGCGTGGTATTTGCAGTCGGCCCTAATAAAAGCCCTGTCCTGTTGTGCAGTTCTGTATCCAAAATAATGGCTCAGGCGTCTCTGCCGCTTTGCTTCACTTGGCTTTGGTTGCATTTTGTCTTTTACTCCGTTGGGAAACCTGGCGAATTCCAAACGGGCTCTCTGCATCCCCTGGAGCAGGAGTCGCTTTGTTTTGTCCTTTTCACCACCATTTGCGGCGCAGGAGTCCCGTGGCAGGCAGTTAAGACTAGCACGCCATGAGCGAGGCACCCAAGAAGCTTGCCCTTCTTATTTATAATTTTAATAATAATTTTATTATTTGTACCCCGCCCATCTGGCTGGGTTTGCCCAGCCACCTTGGGCGGCTCCCAACAGAATATTCAAAGCGCGATCAAACATTAAAAACTGCCCTAAACGGGATTTTTAGAGCCCTGAACCCGCTTCCCTCGCTGGAGGCTTCTCCCAAGTTTCCCACGTTGGCTAAGGATGGAGGGGTGGACGGGCGTCCTCTGGATCAATCTGGGAGCGCTGAGTTCAAGTCGCTCCTCCTCATCCTACGTGCAACCCACGCGCTCCTCACCCGGCACGTCTGAACTGGAAGCTGCGTCCCGTTTGACAGGTCCCTTGGGTCGCAGCCCGAGGCGCCTTCCCTCGCTGGCACCCGGAGGTGGAGAGGAACTGAGTCAGGCTGTGCTGGCCGAGCGACGCCACCAGCTTCAGACAACACCAGGGCAGGATTTAGGTTTGATGAGGCCCTAAGCTACTGAAGGTAATGGGGCGCTTTATATGTCCATCTGTCCTTTGTCAACAACAAATTGTTTCTTTGTGTTGAATATATGCTATATGGTAAAACCTCAGCGCTTAGGACTTGCCGATCGCATGGTCGGCGGTTCGAATCCCCACGGCGGGGTGCGCTCCCGTTGTTCGGTCCCAGCGCCTGCCAACCTAGCAGTTCGAAAGCACCCCTGGGTGCAAGTAGATAAATAGGGACCGCTTACTAGCGGGAAGGTAAACGGTGTTTCTGTGTGCGGCTCTGGCTTGCCAGATGCAGCTTGTCACGCTGGCCACGTGACCCGGAAGTGTCTGCGGACAGCGCTGGCTCCTGGCCTATAGAGTGAGATGAGCGCACAACCCTAGAGTCTGGCAAGACTGGCCCGAATGGGCAGGGGTACCTTTACCTTTACCTCTGGATCTAATAGGTATCTAAAGCCATTTGCACGTAACAAAATACATATTTCATCAAAGCTTGCTTTTTATCTTACATTTTGGAAATGTACATCAAGTATTTTTTCCCTTTAAATTTTTTTTGGGGGGGACAAGAGAGTGCGGCCCTAAGCTACAGCTTGTTTAGCTTATACGTAAATCTGGTACTGGACAAGACAGAGGGGTTGGGCAACACAAGCTCACTGTTCGGGGAAAGTGCTTTATCTGCAGTCAAGTCCATTGATCCATCAAGATTAGTATCACCGACCCTGGCTGGCAGCAGCCCTCTAGGGTAAGGTTACCAGATTTTTTTCAGTGAATCTGGGGACACTTTTCAACTTCAATGGATTTTGTATGGGGACTGATGTGTAAACGGGGAAACGGGAACGTCTGGTAACCTTAGGGTTTCAGCCCGGAACATGTCTTGCCCTACCAGAAGATGCCAAGATTCGAACCGGGGGCTTTCTGCAGGAATGGTGGGTGCTACTGCAGTATGGCCCTTTCCCCAAGCAGATGTGCTCAATAAGAGGTCCTTCTTGCAGTTGTTGGAATCCGAAATGGTGCTGCTACAAGTGGGCCTGTGTGGCCAAGAAGTTCTCACAAGGTGAGGTTCAATCAGGGCTCCTTTTTCTCAGCTGGAGCTCAGCTCCAGCACCAAGTTCACAGTGAGCTCCAGCACCTCTTTTTCTAGAAAAAAAACACCCACTGGGTGCAACTTGTTCCTGGATGCAGCAATTTAGACAACACAAAGGGGATAACTGTACTTTTCTCATAAGAGAACATCTCCCAGCATGTGTAAAGCAAGCAAACATAGCAGAGGCCACTCTAGAATTGTTCACCGTAATATCTAGGCTTAATAACATAACAGCCTTACTGCATCAGGTCAAAGGGCCATTAAATTCAGCATTCTGTTCTCACCAAACTAAAGTAGGGCTTCATAAAAAAATAAAGTGCAACAGGATTGCTCCAACTATGTATATGGGGGCGTGGTTTCAGTTTCCCAGATTCTTACATTGCAAGCAACCACACCTCTGGTTACTTCCGCTGTGAATCAGGCATAAACTCACTGCAAATGAAAGGATAGTTAAAAAGGGCATTGACCAACATCCACTCAGCTCTGCAGCTTTCAACACTGAAATTTCATTTGAGAAGAGCAGATAGAAAGAGCAACCAGAATATGACATGCAGATTTGGAACCAGCATAAATCTAGCCTCCATTCATCTTTAATAACTTCTTACCATATTTTGCGGTTGCCTGTTCTCTAAGAATTTGGTGCCCTGAAGATATCATAGCCAAATTTTGCATAATGCTTCCTGAGATCAAGGAGATTTATCTATGTTTAGATACAGTTGAATGCCATTTTGAATCAAGATAGCAGACAACCTTTCAAACCTGAACTGCTTTTTTTGCTTTCTTAGAATTCCCAAGCAACACTTCACACTAATAATAAACCAGAATGTGCTTAGTTTGCAACAACTCCTGTTGCTAAAAATGCAATTCACTTTTCCTTATTTGTTATCTAAAAGCTAGAATTTTGCTGCCAAACCCTCTGCATTCCATTCCAGTCAAATAAATGTGTTGCAATGTTCAGCTGGTTGTTCATTCAGTCAATTGCATTGGGCTCCATTTAGGAAATGCACTGTCATCAATCAATGGTGTTCACTTATAGACAAGAAATAAAACAGTGCAATCCTATGCTCGTGACTCAGAAGTCATACTAGGTCAATGAGACTTCGTCTCAAGCGTTTATGTATGCATAGGATTGCAGGCATGAATAGGATTACAGCCGAAGGCTAATGGAAAAGAATGTTCTAAGTTATTGGCATTTGAAAGGCAAACAAGATGTATCATGTCTCTCAGAACTAGTTACCACAGTACTATCCAGCAGTCTTAATTTTCTGTTTGTTATGTGCTGCTTGTAAGAGCTGGGAAAGATGGCCCTAGATCTAGTGGAGGAATACTATTGCAGTAGAATAGGCACTACTTTTGAGAGAGAAACTGAAACTGCATTCTGTGTGCTGCAATACCACAGCAGTACAGAATCCTGCAGAATGTGTTGGGGGCACTGGATAATTCAGCTTGTTGAGAATTGCAAGCTTCTAGCCCTTGTGCATGCAGAAATATGTTTGCATCATGTGTAAACTGCCTGCTGAGATCTCAAAACTAAAGGCTTAAAGAACCAGGCAGAGGGCCTTTTCAGTAGTGGCGCCTGCCCTGTGGAACACCCTCCCATCAGATATCAAGGAAATAAACAACTATCTGACTTTCAGAAGACATCTGAAGGCAGCCCCGTTTAGGGAAGTTTTTAATGTTCGATGTTTTATTGTGTTTTTAATATCCTGTTGGAAGCCGCCCAAGGTGGCTGGGAAGGCCCGGCCAGATGGGCGGAGTATAAGTAATAAATAATAATAATTGTTGTTGTTGTTGTTTTGTTATATAGTAGAATAAGATTTCCAGGGGATCAGTGTCCCATAAGAGTTTAAGGTCTTCTCCTTAACAAGCAGTGCCCAATTTATTGTTATTATTAATAAAACATATATCCCACCCTTTCTCCAAAGAAGCCCAGGCCAGCATGTGAGAAAACACAGTAAGAAAATGTGTCAATTGGCATACTTTAAATAAAAGGAACACTAAATTCTGAGCTGAGAATTTGTAGTCTCTTGGCAGAGATTATGTTGGGGGTTATTTTGGTGACTGAGTCTGCAATCCCAATCATGTTTACACAGAAGGAAATCTCACTGAATGCAGTGGAACTTACCACCAGGTAAGCAAGTTTAGGATTGCAGCCTTATGCTTTTGGAAATATAGAGTGTAAACAGCCCCCATTGTGACCTATATTGTAAGGAAGGCAAAACTGTCAGAGACCCAAAAGCCTCGTTCACCAGAGATAGCTTTCAAGCCTCTACGACCCGTAGCTGTTCTCTCCCAAAGTGCAGGTGCTGCCACACAAAAAGATCGATTTCTGACAAGTGCAGAACAGATGTTATACTTACTCATCAAAGAAGCTGGATGTACTGGAGATGTTGTGTATTGAGTCAAAGGATTTTATATCTGTATTATTATTGTCTGTATTTGCATTAGGGTAAAGTAACTGCCTTTTGGTTCCAGAGGGTACAGCTACTATTGGTTCATTTAAGCTGCTGTATTTGGATCCTCTGTCTTATTGGTTTCCTCCAAAAGGCAGGACTGTGATTGCCTGATATTGTTCCCTCCAAAATGTATCCTTTCTATCTAGTTCCCTGTCCCTATCAATGTAGCTCTCCCCTCCTCAGGTCTCAGTCTTGTTTGCTTTAATAAAGAAGTGTTACTAGAGAGCTGACTCCAGCATATTATGTCAAGAGAGCTGAAATCACAAACCCCACGTCACAACAGGAGATACATACAGATGTGAGCAGATCCCCTTAGAAACAAAGGACATATAGATTTCAAAGTTGTCTCTTTGCATTATCTGGATGGCCTTGTTCAGTGCATTTTTGAACGAAGTAAAATCTGCACAAAGTAATATTAAACTGAGCCACATCAGACTTTGCTTTCTTCTTTATTCTGAATTAATTACCCTTGTGGACTGAATAATAAGCTTGGATCTGCATTTAAGTGAACTGACCCACCTCAAATGGCTGTTACTGACCCACCTCAAATGGCTGTTAAGGGAAAAATGAAACGTGAAGACATTTTGAAGTCAAAGTTGCAATCCTTAAGCACACTTGCGTTCAAGTAGAATATAAACTGATGTTTGGTTTGACACTATATTACCTTTAAAAAATCCTCTAACTTGGGAAAGATGTGTTTTCTTTTTTGGAAATGTTTTATTTTTCAGAGTCAAATAAGAGTTATATACAGAAAAGTAGAAGACAATGAAAATAACGAACAACAACTGGGAAATTTGCCCTAAGATATGGCCACAGTTGTTGGAAAAGTTATGAGTCACTGAACATTGTCTTTTGTTAGCCATCGGTTATCAGGCCATCAACTACAGGGTCATACACTTAAAATATTTTTACATGCTCCTATATTGGGACAAAAAAAAGGCACTACTGTGGTTTTTTAAACAATCAAAACAGCTAATATTTTTGTCCCTTGATAAAAGTTACCCCATGATTTCTTAGACCAAAAAAGCAGTAGAAAGCAACATTTCTAAGGGCAGAACAGAATTGACCAAGTGTGAAGGCAGGAGCACTTACAAGTAAGCCACAAAGAGCAACGTGAAGTAGTTTCCACGTGATAGCTACCATCGTGCCGCTAGCTATAATGTGTATATTGGCTTGGCATTCCAAACCATTTTTCTCCATGGCACGGCAAAGCCTGAGAAAGGCTTGCAGTATCACAAAGATGGCTGGGCAGCCAAGTTAAAACAACAACAACCAACCCAGCAGCATGTCCCGTACAGCAATTATGTGTGCCAGCTCTCACAATCCCATTTCTCAGAAGCAGTCATTTGATGAGTACAGTGCAAAGTCTCTGAGGTTTATGAGGCTCGTGCTGATCCGCTGCCTAGGCTTTAAGTTGCACCTCATTGGGCGGCAGCCTATGTAGTTTTCTGCCACGTTGCCCCTCCTAGACAGCATGGAAACCATGTGATTCAGCTTGGACCGGATGACGGAGTAGTGGAATTCCCTCTCCTTGTTCAGCTTGCGGAAATAGTCGGCCCTGTGGTTGGCGGCATAGTCTATGGACCTCAGGGATGTCAGCGAGCCCGTAGAGCTTGCCCGAGAGCACTGGGAAGAAAGCGAAGAAAGCGACCGAGCGCTGGAAGAAGTTGAAGTGGCCTTCCTAGTAATGGGAGATACTTCTTTAGATGGCACCCTCTGATCAGGAGATGCTTCTTTGAAGACCACTCTCTGTTCAGGCAGCCTTTGATCAGGCACCCTTTGATTCTGGACCACTTCTGCAGCCTCCCTCTGCTCGGTCTGCGTTGTGGCGGTCTTGTACAAAACGGTCGTCTGAGTGCCCACCATCCTGGATCGAGTAGTGGTCTGGGTGGTGGCTGTTGCCACTGAAATGCTGGTTTGTGTGGCGCAGTTAAAGAGGGTGGTGGCGGGCTTCTCTTCCAATGGCTCGGTCTGAGTTGACTGGCTATTTGTCCCCTTAGGGTTCGCTAGGACCTCTGGGCCATTGTGCCACTCCTCATCGCCACTCAGGTGAGGGCGCTTCGCGGTCACCCTTCCACTTTGGAGTTCTCTCGCCAGCTCCAGTTCTCTCTCAAGCTTCTTTGGGCTGCTCGAGAGCCTGGCGAACTCCGCTCTCAGGAGGTTATGCACAGTGAAGTCTTTGCACGGTGTTGCTTTACTGCTCATGTGCTCAGAGGCATCGCTGTTCCTGTAGCTGGATGGCTGCTTCGGGTCAAGAGGTTTCGATCGTGCGTACAAGATGCGGAACTCCAGATCAAAGTGTTCAACCACTTGGCCGGAGAGTAGCAATACATTGCTGCTGTTTAGTTTCCCATCAGTCCACGTGAAGCTACCAGGGGTTGGGGGAGGAGGAAGAGGAGAAGAGTATTATGCTATGCATAACCATTCCTTTAAAAAAAAATGTTTTATGGCTGACAAATGGACATAGCAATGCAAACTGGCTGGGGAGTTGGAATCCAATGTGAAGTTCTCTGATGACTGGTTACCTTTTCTTCATTAACTCCAGGGGAAACTAGACCACCTACTCCTCACATTCTCTCACAGCATCAATCTGGTTGTGGTATCTGTTCTGGTACTCAGTCCCTACTTAGTGATTACTTCTGAGTTCAGCCTTTTGCAATGTACATGTGTTTTTGCCTGTGGGAGGGCTTGTTCTTTCAACATGGGAAACATGTTCTATGTTTGTTTGTTTCAACCTTTTTATTTACTTACATTCTGTAGCATTTACATGTTTCTGGGTTTTCTCTGATAAAATCCCAATAAAAATATTCAGTGCTTTTTTTCTTGAAAAAATGTTCAGCGGTACTCTCATTTTCCTATTCATATAGAAATACTCAACTAGGCCAGACCTAGATTCACAAAATGTTTAGGGGTATGCATACCCCTGCATCCCCCCAGGAAAAAAGCACTGAAAATATTATTTAAAACATTTTTTCATGGCCTCTTCTTGTTGGTATGAAGTAGGTAAGACTGAACTGCTCCCCCTTGTGAGACAGAACAAGAATTCATTCCCATTTAAATACACATTTGCTACTTCTTCTTTTTCTCCACAACCCCCATCCCCTCAGTAGAACTTCAGTGCCTTTTTACAGCTTGTCTATCAGAAATTCAACAGCTACTGCTTGGACAGTCTGAAAGGCCATATGTCACTTCTGCATAATAAATATACATACACTACATTCTATACTGCCGTGTCTGCATATAAATACAAATCAGGAGTGAAAGGAACTAAAAGCAGCTCAAGAAGACTAATCAATCTCCCCCTGGCCCTTCCTTCTGCCCCGCTTCAAATGAGATAAAGCCTTTGTCAGTTTCTTAAAGGGTCTGCTAGTCAAGGGGGCATGTTTGTACCAGGGAAATGATGCTTCAAGCACAGGCGATGGGTATTTGTCTGTTGAGGCTATCGCAGACTTCCCATCAGACTACACTCTACAGAAGACTCTCGGGTTTGTTAAAGAAATACAAAAGGTATCAGGTAGCTTACCTGTAAGAGCCTGTAGTCACTCTTACACCATCAACCAACATGAACTTCTCATGGACACTCCCAATTATCTTGGCTCCTGATCTTGCATAATAAGTGTTTCCAGTAATAGTTCGGACTCTCATCAGCTGTTAAAAAATGGCACACAGTTTAGGCCAAAATGCCAAGCTCTCTTCAAGTCAGGACTGTATCCCAGTGATGGGCCTGATAGAGCTGCTGCAGCAAACTAGTTGAGATTTACCACCACCCCATGCATAGTTCCCATCCTGGCTGGCACAAGGTCTCCAGCCACAGTTTGGATTGGTCTCTTGACTGGGATGTATCAAGGGAACCTCACTTCTGGGTAAAGGGTTTAGCATCCAAATGTATTAGACAAGGAAAGGGAAAAGCAGCTTTGAGCATGAGACTTTCCCCCTCTCTTGAATAATGGGCTGAGGTAAATCCAAGATCAATCTGTTTTCCACTTGTAAAATCAGAAGCGCCCCACAACTTACAGGCTCCTGTTCAGGAGAAAAATCCAGGTTTTTGCACATCTCCATAAAATGACAAAGGCAGGCCTGATCCAGGAGGATGTAGACAGGAACCAGCCTCTTTCTACAGGCTTCCCGGAGATCACTGAAGATGTCCATGTCTGTGAAGGAGTCCATAACTATAGCAATAACCTGGAAGATTTTAAAGTAAGAAAAAATGAATTATAAGAAGTTATGTGCAGAAACTTATCTTGCAACACGCTTTTGGTCAAGGGAGGGGATGTTGTTGGACTCCAACTCCCATCAGCCCCAACTAGTGTGTGGTCTGTCGATGGGCGTTGTCGTCTAACAGCATCTGGAGGGACAGACCTAGCAACTTGTTACATTTAAATTTTCTTGCATAGCGTTAGAACAAGGGTGGGAAACCTGTGACCCCACCCCCAGTGTTTTCCTATTCCAACTCCCATTGGCTCTAGCCAATGTCAGACATCATAGGAGCTATAGGGAAATAAGACCTTGTCTCATCATGCAATGGTTTTTTTCCACCTGCCTTGCCCCACCATCCAGCCTTAGGAGCCTTCAGAGTGGAGTTGCTGCCACGGGCCTTATGTTCATGTGTCTTTTGATCAACTGAGTGGAAGACTATGAGTCATGGGGGTGGGGGGAGTGTTTCTGCGAATTCAACCATGCTTAGTTGGTTTTTGGTTTGTTAATGTTATTTTGTGCATCACGGGTGCTATAACGCTTTGTGAATAGGGCTTCCATTGTGGTTCTGTTGTTTAGCTTTTTCCTTTTAGTTTTTTGTTAATAGTGTTTTATAGAAGGTGGTTGTTTTACTGGTGATTTGTAATTCTTTTACTGAGAATTTGTTAATTATTTTATATCTGTGGTTCCCAATGTGGGGCAATTTGATTTTTAAGGTGGGCAATTTGAGAATGAGTTATTAGCAGCGAATGGCCTTTTAGGCTTCCTCCACGTGAATAGGAGTTCACTTTTTGAATAATAAGAATTATATGTCATGGGTGGGGCGGGATCAGGGTTTTAGAGATACTTAAGCTGCTTTGTGACTTGTGTGAGTGAAAATCTGCATGGAAATATAACAAATGGGGGGGATGAAATAAGCAACATCTGGAGGGGCACCACTCCTGGCATAGGTATCTGTTCTCATAACCCAGGGGGTATACAACGATCCCTCTACCACCAGCACCACCAGCACGTCTACTGAGGAGCCTGCATTTCTGTGGTTTCCCCTGAATCAAGGTGTTCTGCTGTTAATCTCATGCCATGGCCTGAAGAGAAACTGTGGCAGAGTCAACTATCAGTCAACATTTTCCTCCCCTCCCTTCCTCCCAGGCAGAGGCTGGGCCATGTACTGGCTTGCTGCAGGTGTTTGTTAGGAAGGCCAACACAGCTTATTAAAAGGATTTGGCGTTTCAGATAGCAAAGCCAAGTCTACAAGGTACACGTGACTTCTACCATGTTTTTCCCCCCTCTCTAAACGCTTCATAAGCGTTGAGGAAGGGCCAAAAACAGGCAAAACCTTGTGTTAGCATTGCATAGGAATCTCAGGTATTGTCAGGTGCTGGGAGGAAACAGTGAAGTGTGCCAGAGATTTTTCAAGCACTGCGTTAGGAAGGAAGAAAAATAACATTCTTCCTCTTGAACTGGAGAGCCCACTTGTAAAACAGAAATCAGGACATGCCTATAGGGGTGTTGCAAGGACAAAGAGGCAACACTTTCAAAGTTCTAATTGAAACCTATTAAATTGTAGCCCGCAATGCTAGCCCTACCAAAATAATTATTGTCATTATTTTGTATTAACCCGCCCTTCACCCCAAAGTCTCAGGGTGGGTTACAACAGGCATAGGCAAACTCGAGACTACAACTCCCAACATCCCTAGCTAACAGGACCAGTGGTCAGGGATGATGGCAGTTGTAGTCCCAAAACATCTGGAGGGCCGAGTTTGCCTATGCCTGGGTTACAACATCAAAGCACAATGTTAAGCACAGTTTAAAACAATCTACAGTCACAGAAATAAGGAAAGTAAAAAATGTACACCTGTGTCAAAAGCCAGGGTAAGAGGTGCATATTCAGCATTCACCAGAAGCTGTACAGTGATGGTGCCAGACATACCTCTGTAGGGAGGGAGTAGCTTAGGGGCCACCACAAAGAATGCCCTGTCGCCCAGCATCTTCATTGGTTACAAGTGCCTAATAACCCAGGAGCAAAATGTGCCTGACACCTGGCAATTTTTGAACACTGGCACCAAATGGCTCAAGGATAATGGATATGAATTCTGAAATACGTATACATCTCACAAACTACAGTAATGTATATACATCTCACAAACTAATGTATTATTTTTTTTCACGTTGCTTGTTTTTTCACAAAGAAACAGTATTTGATGACACATGGAGATAACTAGGATTCCTATGAATGTGTGGGTTTAGCTTTGAAATATGACTGGCTGTTAAAAAACAATCATGTGTGATTTCGAGTAATCACACATTCAGTCTAAAAACTGTATTAAGATCATCTTCATTAAGCTTCTTTATCTATGGAACCATATGACAAATTTGCCAGTGAGACAAGACCTTACTCTTTGGGTTACTAGACAAAAATAGGCAAAATTAGTTAATGAATTCTAGATGTTCTGCCTCTTCAGGGTCAAACACAGGTGAATGATCAGAGGACAGCTTTTCAGTGTTAGCCTTTGGGCATGAAACAAGACTTAGGTGCCATATTTTTGGTTAGTTGACTTTTTTATTTTCACGTAAGTTTAAACTCATACATACCAAAACATGTACAAGTCACAACACAAAGAAAATAACTAAACAAATGAACCCAATATAAAAACAAAATATGCAGGTTATAACAAAACTATCAGTGAGGGGAAACTTAATACAATGCCACACCTTTAAGATGTTACCAAGTAAAAAAAAGCCAAGGGACAAAGCATTTAATAATCTATGTGCTTGCAGAGTTGAGAAAGGATCTGTCTCTTCCTAGAGAAAGCTATTACAACATATGAGAAAACCTAGTATCATAACCAAATCCTCTTGAATCCTACTGGTGGCGCTTGCCCATGTTCCATCTTGTTGGTGTAATCTATGGAACCAAACCACACTGCAACTAACATTTCTTTTACTGTGACCTCTTGTGACTCTGATTTTGTATTTCCTAGGAGTGCTATTTCTCAGACCACATGATGTTGATATTCTGTGTTAGCCTCACACAAATCTTTCCAGAGCCTTGCAGCTGTCAGCAAAAGACTGATTAATTCTTTATTTTTCAAAACTTTGTTGCCATCTGACCACAGGTTCAACAATTGCAGTTGCAAGGATGGCACAATATTCTGTCTGACTATTGCCTCCATTTCCTTAAATGCCCAACACCAGAAAACTTTATTTGGGGGGGCAAGATCTATGCAGCTATTAAAAGACACAGGAGTCTTGTCTTCTTGCCTTACTCAGGAATGTACATACTGTACAGCCATCTCCTGTTCACATTGACTCAAGAACTAGTGGCAGCTAAGTCCATTGCCAAGACAGGAGGGAATTTGTGGCTTTGGGGTGTTTCTGACAGCGCAGTCACTGAATGGAAGTCCCAAGGCTAAATCAAAAGCGCAAATGTTGACTCACCTGTCACCAAGCAATATAAAACTGTTTCTATTTAATTAGTGTCATCTCCCTCACTCTTTAATTATATTTCATTTGATTACTTTAAACCCTTCCCTCTGGTTGGACCGTGAATGACCTCAAGATAAAAGCCTCTCTACATGAGTTAAGATTGCATGGTCCTCTATTCCACACACCTCACTCCTTTCAATTAATGTCATCAAACAGAATCTTCTATAGAGTTGCCTGACCTGTAATGTGTTCTTCATCAGCAAAGACCTCACACCCTCCTCCAGTCACCGAAACCACACAGTTTCATCCTCCCCAAACTGCTCCTTGCCATGTCATTTTCCACAAAACTCAACTTCAGGACTATGGGGGGAAACCCACAAGCTGTCCCATTTCTTGAGGAAAGGATATTGAGTCTCCGTTTATGAGTTATTCCGGATTCAGACCTCTAAAAGGAAAAAGGCTGCCCACTTTCCACTGTTAGGTACTAGAAAGAAAAATGTCTGATCTGCACAGACAGCAGAATGAAGTCCAGAGGTGGTAGACAAGCAGACTGCAAGCAAAATAACCTTTTTAAAAAAATATCCCAAAATAAAAACAGAACTCCCTGCTGAAAGGGGAAGGGATCTTCTGTTCTGCTGATCTTCTGTTCTGCAAGTGTTCTACTTGCAGGGAAATGTTGTTTAGTTTTCCACTCTGGTCAGTGACTGAAATAAATCGATTCATTCGTGTTTAGTTTTAAGTGCCGGAAACATTCAGGAATGCTATCTCCCACCTACTATCTGAAACACTTGTGACCAAGCTACTTGAAAGTTCACCTCCTCCCACTTACATCTGCCTGGACCATAAGGTCTTTGTCAAAAGCTCTTCTTGAGGTGCCCCTGCCTAAAGAGATGCCTTTTTGGTGGTGGCACCCCTATTATGGAATGCCCTCCCCCAAGAGGCTCACGTGGTACTTACTGTACATAAGATATTTTCAGAACGAGGGGAATAACTTTTTCATTTCTCGTGCCTTTTAGAACCATGCTTTAGTACTTGGAACAAGATAATTCTAATTTTTTACTTTCTTTGAATTTTTGTAAGACCCACCATGAGGACACATGTTTATGGGGTGGTTAATAAGATACATGAAATAGGTGCCTCGATCTACTCTCAATACCTCAAAGTTTCACTCCACTACATGTCAGGTTCTAATCAAAGCATCAAATACCAACATTCTACAGCAGGGGTGGAGAATCGTTTGGGCCCAGTGGACCAGATCATCCTCTGTCCTCACCCTACGGGCCAATTTTGGCAAGCAGGTGGGGCAACTCACCTGTCAATCACCTGGTGTCATTGAGACACGTGCCAGGCCAAATTTGGGATGGAGCTTCACTGATCACCTGAACCATGGGAAGAAGCAGTGGAGGTCCAGAAAAAATATGACCTTCACGAACACTCTCTCCTCAGTCTCAGGGCTCTTTCTCCTGTTTTCTCTTCCTCGGCTGGTTAACTCTTCCCAACCCTGTAATTTCAATTATGATAAGCCTCATGCTGCTATTGAGCTTTTTCTAAGCTTAATAGCA